TTGGTATTACCTTTCTAAATTACATAGTGGAATCCCTTCCTGCACCTTTATTGATGAAGACTTAGTATCTGGCTTTATAAGAATAATTGCAGAGCAAAGAGCATTTTCAGGATTCAGAATAAGGCCATAGGGAATTTTATATCAGCTTTTTATTCCTCGTTATTACAAAGTGATCATAATTGGAAAAGCTCCTGTACCATTCTCTCTTCATGGTTTCTGCTACACAAGACCATCGTAAGTTGACCAAATTTTAGTGACCTTACCCAGAACAACACCATTGATGACTCTGGCATTGCACACAGGGGATACTGAAGGGAAACTTTCAGTAAAGGTCTCTCCAACCAGAACCAGTGTTCTTTATCCCCAAACTTGCCCTTCCAGATATAAAAAAAAAAGATTTCCCAGGAGTGCACCAATTCTTGTCAAAGTTTTAAAATTTCAACTCCTAAATTCAAATACTCATTCTAGGTTAGATAATGTGTCATACATTATCTCTGAAAAGCACTGGAAAATTAAATTGGCCAACACCAATTATTGTCCATCGTGTCTAAATGCTAGTTGAATCTAGTATCACACATAACAATTTCAACACAAAAACTGCTAACTTCAGAAAGCAGTTTTTAAAAACAAGTAACAGTGAGCTAAATGGCAGGCAGAGGAGGAACACAGCCAACTTAATCCCTTTTGACTTATGATTTTACCAAAGCATTTTGAAGATACTTAATAGTGTGTGTTAAGTCTATACTGCACAAAACCTGACTTAGCACTCAGTGAACCATATTAGGCAGAATAAGAAGGATAATTTCAATAGCAAATGATCCCCTGTTGCTGGAACTGTACCTCTCTATGCTAGTTTGGTGCCTGCACACATCTCTGCCTTATGGAACTGCACCCTGTGGAACTTGTGGACTTATGCCCATTCATTCTAGGATTTTGAAATGAAGATATATTTTGATCACTTCAGCTACTGTAAAGAAAAAATATTTTCAGTCTGTAAGTAAAGTGTTAATCTGATATACACAAGTACATGTTAATGTACACAGGTTTCATTGTGGTGACAAAGAGCATAACAAACACAAAATCTCTATTCCAAAAAAGAGAAAGGATGATTTTTTTTTCCCCCTTTACAACCACCGTCCATATCTTTGCTGGGTTAAATGGCTGTTTTTCATGAAACTATGCATTGAGGAATTCCATCCCAGATATACATGGAACTCCATCCCATATCCCAGAAACCTTTAAAGCTTCAGTCTTTCTTTCTGAGATTAATGGCCTGAACTTTTGTAATTTAGAAAGTGGTTCCATCACAGTGTAAGAGCATTTGGCATTAAATAGTAATCACTTCACAGCCTCTCTTCTTGTACCCTAGATGGATGCACTGAAGGATGTATCATAGGAATACTGGCCTCGCATTTAATTACTTCTGGGATCAGCAGAGCTGTAATCAGGTGTCACAAACAGGAGCTATTTGTTCAATAATGCTTTCTTACCTCACATCACATCTCAAAAGCAGTGTAAGAAGCAAAAGGAAATTAAACATACTGAACTAAAAGTGGTATTTTAATTTGGTGTCATCCATTCATAGAATTTTCTAGAGATTTAGAAACTCCCAGAGGTTTAAGCCAGACTTTTCCACCTATTGTTAAGGAAAACTGGTTACTGTCATGGGTGGCAATAAGAGTTATGCTGCCTTCCTGCACTTCAAGCACAAATTCAGAAACAAACTCCAATACACCTTCACTCCCAGTTTAGTGGTATTTTTTTAATTACCTTAGGAATTATTTCTTAATGGGAAACAGGCTGTTCAGATACTAGCCTTTTGTATTTTTTTAAAATTTTTTTATTTTTTTAGTTGAGCTTAGGGTTAGACAAATCAGATGCGATTCTCCCAAAGATGCTGCTGTACTGCTGTGAAACACCCCTGACAGCAAAGACCAGAACAAGAGCATAGACTCACCTCCCTTTATTACTTTGCTAAGCTAAATATAGATGACTGGACAAATTCCAATCTGCTTAGAAACCATGATGGAAATTTAACTTTAATTTGCACGTCTAGTAGACATAGGGATTATGCATGGAAGTGCACTATTGGAAGTGGTTAGGTCTTGTTGTATGACTTGAGAAGATCCAAAACAAAAAGGGGGATTCCCTGATTTTTCTGAAAGCTCAAGGTCTGACAGCTCAAGCAGTCTATGATCCGCTCCATGGGACTCCAAACTATAGCTAGTTAAAACTTAACAAGAGCACTAGAAGTCTTCTCTGTTTACCAGAAACCACAGGCCTGAGCTGTGGTTATAGTTTTGACAGCTTGCTTGTACCACCATCAGCTGAGAAGTAAATAGTAATCTTCACCTTTATGTAAACTTTAAGAGCTTCCCACACTTCAGCTTCTATGGGATAAAAAGGCATTAATGTCAGAGAATAATTGGATTCTAGCCATTGCCGGTTCTCAGAAAGCTGGAAGGGACATAAGGGAGATCCTAAGCCTCCATCCAGCAGTTCCTTCACTGGGATAAATAGTCTTTCATCTTGTTAACCTTCTTTCATAGTGATCTAGTTACATAAACTTTGCTGCAATTACATACATGTCACCTGTACACAGTGAGGATTCAATAAATGAACAGAAGGAATTCAAGTATTGTTATCATACTGTATATTTTGGGTTTGTGACTCTGAAATACTGCTTTGGTTCAAATCAGTAGGTTGTGAGTGATTTTATAAAATGGCTGCTTTCATTGACTATTTAGAATAAAGAAGGAACCATGGGTGAGAATTTGATCTCACAAATCTGGAACTGCTGCTTACACCAACAGAACTACCACAGGTTTGCAATTGCACGTTTTCATGAGGAGAATCAAGTCTTTTCTTAAAGCAATAGAACAAAAAGTATTTAGAAACTTAGATTAGTTAATCAAATCAGCATTTCTACCTGATTTTTAACAGGAGCATGTTCATACAACACATTATTTCTAGCAAAGTGATTTAACAAGCCACACACCCTGTTACCTCCACAAACAGCATTATACACACACCAACTTAAGTCTGGTAGCTACAAATGCACCAGTAAAAAGAACTTCCTATCTCTTCCCCACTCATTACCTGGGGAAGGAGCAGTCACAAACTTCTGTGTTGCTTTTGTCCTGCTAGTGTGACTGTACAGGACAATAAGCAAAACGATTCCTGAGCTGCATCAATACTCCAATGGGCTTTTTTTCATTAATAGCCTTTTGCTGATCTGTTGGTATCTGAATCCATAAATTCAAAAAATGAAGAGTAGTATAAGCCTAATGATCACAGGAGAAGGCAGCAAATAGTTTCTTTTGCACAGTTGGTAAGGTTTATCAATAAATGTTGGTATGCAAACTCCAGCATGTTCTGTTTGGGGCATCTCATATGTGAGACCTTTCTCTCTAGTTTTATTCCTGCCTGCAGTCCTGTCAGACTTCCTGTCAGATCATATTTATGACTTCTGTACCAAGCCAGAATTGATAAAAGATAGTTTTATTTTGCTGCTACAAACTAAAGGGACCAGAGAAGGATATGAAAGGATGGGTGATGTACCCAGTGGGAGAATTCAGCAAAATATATGTTTTCTGTGACATTTTGGATAAGGCAATATTGCACTTCCAAGTGACAAAAGAGAGGGATTTACAGCCATTCAGATGATGAAAACCTGAATAAATTTGCTTTAAAGATAAATAAAGAAAGACCATAGCTTGTATATTTTCCTCAAAAGCACGTGTCAACACTCATACACTGGAAGGGTTGACTGAACTGAATGTGAAATCCAGAGTGTGAGCTAAGGACAAAAGTGGCAATATTCACAGTGACTGAGAAGAAAAAAAGGAAATATGAGGCTGGCTTGATCTTTTTTTTTTCCATGTTGAACTTAAATGACTAGTTTCATTGCCAGAAGTTAAGCAATGAAAGAAATCCAAGATTTTCATTTTGACATGAACAGAGAAACCTACACTACAGTCATCTGTGAGGTATTGCCATAAGGACTGAAGAAGAAAATGCATTTGCAAATCCCATTGTTCAGGGACAAAATATAGGGAGGATGATTAAACAAATGAAGATCTGTGGACTTACACAAAAACTAAAAAAAATAGAATTAAAGAGAAATAGAGCTTGGAAAAATGAAGGAATAACTAATGTGAAGAGCTTACTGAATAAGTCTAATAGACCACTCCTGTTTTACTAAGGTTTCATTCCCTTCACTTTCTTACACCCAGCTCACACTTGCCCTGCAGCATCCCAAGAGCTCCCTCTGCCCTGCTCTGAGCACATCTACACCCTGCTATAATTAACAAAAACTTTTCAGACTAGACAATACTAAAAAAATGATCAGATTTCCTTCCTTCAGTTTTGAGTTGGTTTATTTTCCTGCCAGGTAGACCCATCAAAAATTTTATCAGCATTGTTTATTGAGTCTGAAGGATTTTGCTGCTCATAAAAGACACACTCACCCCTCAGACCATCAGTCTCTGCTTTGGTTGTGCTGTTGCTCCCTGGATTGGCCGGGGGCTGAAAGTGACATCAGTCTATGGGGGTTTAGATCTAATGCTCCCGTGTGCGTCAGGTAATCCAATTGAGTCCTTGTAAGGCGACGGACCCAGAGATTTGTACTGAGCCACTTCCTAAAAGCTGACTCTCATTACCTGGCAAGTGAGCTACCAGGGGAAAAAAAAATAAAAAAAAAAAAAATAAAAAAAGAAAGAAAGAAAAAAAAAAGAAAAGGAAGGAGTGTAAACAGCTTTAGCAGACATGACGTTGCCTTCAACTTCAAACCAGGAGCTGCTAGGTTTGGCTTGCAAGAGAAGGAACCTCACTGGTTTTGCTTAGCCACTTGCCAGACCACACAGTGCTTAGTTACAAGATACAAACAAAGCAGTAGAAAGGAAGGAAGAAAGGGGGAAAGAAAGAGAGAAGACAGAAGATAAGGAAGATAAAGAGAGGAAAAAACCAATAAACAGAAATCAAGACCTGAATATGTTTAATGTTATATTTACAACTATTATTGTCTAAACAATCATTATTGGGCAAAAATATATAAGATTACAGACCATTCTGGATGCGGCATCTGTCCAACTTGTACAGGTAGGTTCTTACGTATTTATCTTAATCTCATTATCAATTAAATAAGTATTAAATCACTCATCTTCTTGGTTTTGTACAGCAGTATCTAATATTTACCTTGTTGTTTGGGTTTTTTACATTAAGCCTCATTTCATTTCTCTTAAATCATTAGCTAATTCTGACTAAAAGGCTGCTTGTTTGTAGGACAAATGATAATATAAAGCTGGCTGGATTGTCATTCAGAATATCAGTGCTCAGCCCCTCCTGCCTTCTTTGAGAGATAGAAATGTTCACCTAAAACAGAATTTCACGGTTAAAAAATCAGGATACCTCAGCATTGTCTTGCTTTCTATTGAAGGCAGAGAAGCAGAAGGCACCAAAGTGTTCCTGTTCTTATGGCAGGGATAAGTCTTTGTTTGCATAACACAGTTGACATGATTCTAGAAAACACATTTAAGTACATTATTTTTTTATGGGTTTGTACTAAGCACTATTATTTCGGAAAGAGCACTGACCTCCAAACAGCAGAAAGATTACTAGTGACTATAATCTGTGACTAAAGACTCTCAATTAAGAAACTGCTTTCCTAATTTCTTCTCTACTGCTCTCCAAGGTTTTTAGCAAGTCCCTACATTACAGTTTGCAGTTTCTAAAAGAAAAGCAACCTCATTTTATAGAAATTTTGGCATAGGCTTCATAATCATTACTGATCTAGAAATTTATAGATATAGACTCCAGAGGAATACAAATACTGATAATTTACTATTTACATCTAAAGTGTAATTAATGATGGGAAACCGCTTCACCCTCAATGATGTGGTAAAATAAGAGATCGAGTCTTTCTCAAGTAACAGAACCAGTCAGCATCAGAATCAAGATCAGAAGCTTTGAAAATCTCTCTTTGCAAGCAAAGGTGTAACTATGGCATTGTCAGAACTCAAGAACTAGCTTTAAAAATAAGCAAACCACAGCAGCACTGACTACAATAGGATTAGCTGTGAGAAGCTACAGAGGCACTTTGGGAAGACTGGACAATATAAGCTAAAATCTTAGCTCTTCATCTTTCATTTAGGACTAAATTTTTCTTTGGTACCTGAAGAAGCTGGTGTACAGCCTGCTCAGGTTCTTTTACCTGTGTTGTGGTGGTACCTATTAACCTCAGCATCAGCATATCATTTGACCCTTCATTCCCTATTCCTTATTTCTGGCATGAGGCTGCCTCATTTTAGAGAATTACATAATGTCTTAAAAAAGGACATAAATCAATAAATATAAAAGACAAATATTACCATGCTGCTTCAGTTCTACTGTCCTACTATTTCTGGCACTGCAGCAGCAGAGAACATGGCTTTGAAGCTTCAATCTCTGAAGTGCTAGAATAATGTAGATAATGTGTTAGATGTATTAGATTTAGTTCTGGGCCACCAGTCTGGTCTATTCTCATGTGGAATGAGCTTTTATGAAAGGTGCATGAAAAAAAAAGCAAAGAAAAGTAGCACTAGCTACTTTAGAGGCAGTAGCTTGTCTATTATAGACAGATATTCTATGAGGTCCTTAGCATTTGGCTTCAGCCAGGGCAGAGGAGAAAGGACATATAAACTTACCAAGAATGAACACAGCAAAACTTTCTTTTGATTGCAGTTATCCAGTGTTATGTTTTTAGGCACTTCTATTGAAAGAATATCTAGCTGCAAACTGACAGCAGTCAGTGCAATATTTTCCTCTGAAATTCACTGGTAGTAGGATCCTTTTGAAGTAGAGAGGAAATAGGGATTTGACCCTATAAGTCTGATTTTGTAGGATGCTGAATTTTTCTAAATTTTCTTTTGGTATCAGTAACATTTTATGTCTTCAAGGAACAATGTCCATAGGTCTTGTAATAAAGTCAAACTTTTAGCAACCCTACCACCCAGCTCATGAAATTCTCTACAGAGAGACACATAACTACACTATGCAGGAACTAGATTTCAACTCTCTCCCTCGAAGATTAGACTGTTTAGAGACTGGCCCACCTCATATGAAGTTTATTATTTCCTAGAAAAGAAATTCATCTCTTCACTGTAGCAGTGAAATTTTTATCCCCTTTCAGTGCTGAATAAATTGCAACAGTCTGGTTAATTCTCCTATTGATTTAAGTACATGTTTCTAGAAAGGAAATAAAATAATTTACAATAGAGAGTGAAAAAATACCATATCATGAAGGCTGTTTCACTTCAGCTATAATTTCTGGGAAACAATCTTTCTAAGGTAAGGTCATGCTTTAGCAACAAGGCAACTCCCTCATTGACTTGTCATTGTTTGCAGATTTGGCTCTGCCTGTACTTTACTTGAACAGAAGTTTTTAACAGCATTTTAAGTGTTTATTCCTATTATAAACTCACACATTTCCAGTCCATATTTCAGAGAGTTACATTTCATAGTTAATGAGATTCATCTCTCTGGTATGAGGAATATAATGCATTCTCTCAAAAATTGTAACAACAAGTTTACAGTGAGTCAGAGTATAAAATTTGTATATGGAATATATGTGAATAAATGAGGATATGATGTAAATTTATTTTAAACTATAATTTTTAAAAAATGTGCTCTTTTCAGTTTTTTCAATCTTCATATAGGTAAATTTTTTTGTCATTTTATGGCAGGTTGTACTTAAGTAATGGAATTAGAAAACATTCAGCTTTTCTGTCCATTTATATATTTTACTCTATGCTTATGTATCAAGATAAAGACCATAATATCATGAATGATAGCATGTATCCAGAACCCTTTAAATATATAAAAGGGTTACTGGATTTGGCCCAACATGTATTATATAAGAGTTAGTATAGAAGAGTATAGTGTAGGTATTTAAGAAAGCCTAAAGTACACAAGGCAGGCATCTTCTGTCCCCAAAGTCTTTCCCTTTTTATTTCTCTAAAATTTGCATACATTTATGATTGGGATACTTAAGATATTACATTTATTTTCAATAAATTTTTTTCTGTATTTCCCCTAAGATTATTAGTAAGAATTTGGTGATAGCAACAACCAATTGAAATACCTTAATTCAACCTTAATTGAACTATATTTAAATATACTTTAAGAATTTACTTGGGTTTTCAATTTTACATGCTCTAGATGAATATTGTCTGGAAAGCAAATATATTTAGTTGTCATTTCTTAGTAAATTATTTCTATACTATATTTTTATAACTTTGATTTTTCTTACGGAAGAATACTGTTCTTCAAGAACAGAATACAAAGTATTCTGAACTATTAAATCAGAACAATCAATCAATGTAATAGATGTAATCAGACAATATTCAAAGCTCATGGTTACAGGCTGAGGTGATCTTTCCTCTTGCATGTTACAGTTTTGTGGGTTGTTATGAAGATTTAGAGCTGTCACTTGCAGTCTGGTCACAGCTTTCATTGATTCTTCAGGATCTTCTAACCACCTAGTCCTAAATATTTTGGAGACCAACATCTCTTAGACTCTCAATGTAGTATTTGAATTTACAGGATTTGGGTTGTGGGTTTTTTTTAGTGTTTGAGGTTTTTTTAAGAAGCTTTATGAAGCCTTGAGCAACAAAGAATTGTGATCTTCATGTGAAAACTGCTCATTTAAGAATATTTCAGTGTAGAAAACTGGAGTGTAGCAAAATTATTTCACTGATCCCAAACTGTCTGTGGAGACCCAGAATTAGATTAATACATATGTACCATGGAATAATCTTGTGCCTTTATAAAAAGCAAGTCATATCTTTCCATTTTAATTCAGAAATTATTATTATTATTATATAAAATCATCCTCCAACATCCTAGGAAAGTGCCACTTCAAGTTCTCATATTTCCTGGTCTTGAAAGCAGATTGCTTGAAGTGTTGTCAACAAGCACCTGAGGTCCTGCGGCTAATTCCCTTTTTCCAGAAAGTTTTCTTTTCTCCCACTGCATCTTGCTGCCACTAATACAAGTTCTGCCTTGGGCTAGTCTGAGGATTGAGCTCCCTTGGGTTTGGTCCTTTGTTTACAGAAGGTGCTTTTAGACTATCAGGTAGCACCTGAGTCCTAAAAGGGACTGCTAACATAGCTGAGGAATTGGAGTACAACAAATGAAAGGGATAGAAGGCTGTGGAGGAAAGTACTGTCTAGACAAAGATGCCTAAAGACCATCTCTTTATAGACTTGTGTGTAGTTTTACATGTGTGTCCTTCAATGCCACACTACCAGAAGCAATTCCATATCTCTAAAGTTGCCCTTAAAAATGACTGATGGTTATTTAGACATTGCAGGTAAATTAAGCAAAATCAGTATTAGCCAGGTCCATACATCTTCAAGTGTAGTGGGTTTACCCCAGCTTCCATGGATTGTTATGAGCTGAGAACTTTTCCTGGATATAGGGGTGCAAATGGAAGAAGTTACACTTCAAGTCCCTTTCACTTTTCTGTCAGTACACACCTACACCCTTCTAGTGGTTAGTGGCCAATATTAGCAACCTCTCAGGTCTTTCAGAGCACCTATTTATGTGGTCCCTCTCTGGCTCACTCTTGTCAAAAATCAGTCACCTCTAATAGAAGGGCTGTGATGGGCATATATGTCCAAACCATAAATAGGCCTTCCCAGACAGATTTGTTTACAAAATTTACACTTGTTTACACCTTCCAGCAAATTAAGAGTTGGTTAAGTTTACAGATAGGTATTTTGCAATATATACACACAGAGCAATGAAGCAGAACTGGAAGTTCAGTCACACGAAAGATAAGACCCCTCTGCATGAACAGCTTCCAGGCAGTAAAATTGGAAGGACTTTCTGATTTGACAGAGGCCTTTCCAGTTCACAGAATACTTTATTCTTACCAAGGTTAATCCTTTGTTGTTGTTGTAATTGCTGTTGTTGTGTTTATACACAAACTATTTTGCCAAAGTTCTCATTTCCAGTTGTTCTTCAGGATGTCCAGATGGGACAAATCTGTTCTTGCTTCATGCCTTTACAAGTAGACCAGAAACAAACTTGACTCCCTATTTTTGAAAACTAAATGTGATTTCTCCTTCCTCATCATCTTCTTCACTGGTGTGTCTTATGATCTCCTTTCATCTTTTTCATCATTATCCAGATAATGGATTGACTTTCATGCCATAAAACTTATTGTACAGCTGAACTTACTCCCCAGTAAGTGATAAGTGGGAATGAAAAGGGCTGTCAGGTAGTTAGAAATCTAGCTGATCCATTCCTCTTGAGGATATTTAATACATTTGACTGTATTTGAAAAGGGAAGGTTGGTTTTCCTATAAAAGTAATAGTTTTTACCTCTTTTGCTTTCTTTACACAGTAAACAATATAGCAAAAGTAAAGATGAAGATTGACCAAAGCCAAGTTTCTCCTTTGCATTTTACTAAATAAGACTGCCAAATCAAATAAAGTGACCTTGGCATATGAAATTACTAAAGCACAAGTATTGCTAAGTGTCAAATTCAGATGTAAAGCTGTAATTCATTTACTTTCATGATAAATTCAATTTCTTTCATTGATTCCAGATTTCAGTGGATGAAAACTTGCACATATGATAAACCAAAATATATCAAAATTGAATTATTTTGAAAAAAATGTGATAAATAGGTGGATGTTGCAGGCAAAATAAGGGGTTAGCCTCATTCCAATGCAAGCTTTAATATCTATGCAAGAAGAGTAGGGAAAAATCTGTTGACTTTAGAGAGTCCATGTAAAGAATAAATGTGTCGCACAGATAACAGGAAGGATATTTTAGGCTAATTTGAATGGTACTATCTTCTTTCATAGACATCAGCAAAATCAGCCTTTGACCTCAAAACACAAATTGGCACTGGAAGCTCTTTACTGTTTTTTCCAGTCACAAAAACATTAACCTCTATAACCTGGCCAAACTCCAAAGTGGGTGATTACATTCTGCTGCTCTAATTTTCCCCTGCAGGCTCAACTAGATCCAGCATAATTTCCTGATATGTAGTGTTACTGAAAAAGTCCCTTTTTTTGCAAAGTTGCTGTCAATTTTTCCTTCTTGCTTCCTCATTTGTCTGCCCTATGAGCTGTAGGTTGTTTGAAGGTCAGATTTGTTTGGTTCTGGATCACAGGTTTTAGTAAACTGAGAGATCATGAACATGGCCAGTGCAACAATGATAACAATATCTTTCCATCACTTTTACTCTCTTACAATACACATAGTATATTTTACATATATATATATATATATATATATATATATATATATACACACACACTATATGTACTATATATAGTATAGCCTAGCTATAGTTTTTTCCCCAAGCACTCAATATCACATCATGTTGGTCTGGAAAATCAGAAGTCAAAAATACAGCCTAAAAATACAGGCATTCTGAGTATGTTTAAAAAACAGTTGCCAATTTGCTTGTAAAATAGCACATTGTTTAACTCCACATTGCTTTAAAGCAATAATTTGTTAAAGAGATTATGATTTCCATGGCCATACAATCTAATATTTTTCCAAGAAGTTTGCACATAGTTGATAGCAGAATTCATTTAATTCATACTTAGTATTGGTCCGAGACATTACTTTTACTCTGAGAAAAAACACTCACTACGAAAGTTAAGCATCTCTGGTGTAACTGTTGATTTCACTTTGGTTCTATAAACCTGTAGAACCTACACTTTGGATAGTTGCTTATTGAATTACTTAAGATAGTTAGAAATATCAGCACTGTGATCACTTGGTATAAGCATTTCTATCTAAAAGAGATGATGCAGTGCTCCTTCCCCCAGCACGGTCTCAAATAAAACAGCACTAAGTACAATCTGATGGATTACCTGTATGGAGAAGCCACACAGATTCTGGCTCTGGGGACCTGAACTTATTGCTTAGTCCCAGTACCACAGGGTTAAGTGAAATGCTATCACAGTAATTTATTATTAAGAGAAACGGTGATGGCTTAGATTAAGAAGATTTGTCTGTCTCTTCTAATTAAGGTTAGATTTGTAAGAAGCTTTACTGCCCTTTGAAGATACACAGACTAAAATTAGGACTCTGGTTCCGTTTAAAATGTCACTAGGTTGGTCTATAATCCTGTAGTGATTGCAACAAGGGATCATTCTTCCTATGTTGTGATTCCTTGTTTGCAAGCTAGTGAGCCAGGACAAGACCCCATGAAGCAAAGTCTGAGCAATCTATTAATCAGCAACAAGTTGGTCCTACAGGGCACTGTAATGCTCTTGCAGTCACCCTTGAAGACTCCATAATGAACAGGAAGCTGGCAGAGCAATCAGCTGTAAGACACAAAGAGTTCTACTGCAGGCAGAGAGCAAATGGTGGCATTAAGTGGGCTGTGCACAGAGAGTGAAGAAGTTTTGGGGGGGCAAGATCTATCCTCAGGCTGTGAGTGAGCTCACTTTACAGTGGCATTTACAATCCTACAGGAGACAACAGCAACCCAGACTGTAGTTTCCTCACTTGCTGGTCTACAGACAATGTTAAAACCTCAAATCAGTAAATTGATCACTTCTAACTTTTCTCATTATTCCCCTATTTACACAGCATCAAATGAACCTGTGAGCCTGCTACAGGAGAGTAATAGCAAAAGCTGTTCAAAAATTTGTAGTAAATTTGAAGCTTGGATTCAGTTTTCCTTACTGATGTGTAGACCTAGAGCAGCTCTGACTAGATTAGTAAATTACAGAAACATGAAACTCATTAGATGGAAAGCTCAGATGCATTTATGAAGAGCAAAACCTTCTTTGAGAATATTGAGCATGACAAAACATTTGAAGGAAAAGCAGCTGTGATGCTTCAAGTCACAAGTCAGTTTCTGGTTCACTAGGATTATTAAAATACTTTCCCAGTAGGTAGGACATGAAATTATGATTCATTGTAGAGTGCCTTTTTCTAAACAATCTGATGCTGTGCTGTGACTGAGACAAAACAGGGTGAGTGTATGAACCCACATTCTTCTGCAGTGGGCCAGGTCTTACATACCTGTCAGATATGACAGTGTGCTAGGAGCCTCTAAATTGCTATTCAGCAGTTCAAGAGTCATCTTTTAATTATTTTTTAGAGAAACAAAGCAAGTTTACATGTATATTGGCAGGGATAAACTGCAAGCACTGAGTCTCAGATATGTGAGCAAGAAAATCTCTCATCAATGAATTCAGTAAGAATCTACCAGCTTTTACTGATCAATCTGCTGAGCAATGAATGAAATTTAATTGCTCCGTTGCACTGTTTGCAACATCTTTTGCATTGTCTTCTTTTTTCCTTAGCTAAACCCTGTCATGTTTTTATAGACAGGAACATCCAATTAAGCAGAAAGATTCAATCACCTATCATTCAAATAGCCACTCACAAAATCTGAACAGCACATATTCATGAAGGACCTCCTGAAAAAAACTATTTGCTCCACAGAATCTTATGACTGGTTTCAAATGATGAGTAAAAGAGCTCAAAAAAAAAATACAGGAAGTCACTTAATTCAGTCCTCTTTATTTACTCAGATTAACACAGGGATAAGAAATACCTACCTATTCTGAACAAAAAAAAGCAGGGTGGTTCACAAAGTATTTCTTACTGTGAGAGAAGGGTACAGCTATAATCAGTAGGGCTTGTCTTGAGCAATTCAGTCTCCTTCAGTGTGTCCAAAACCCAGTATCTACTGCAGCAGGCATGAGCAGTTCCTGTGTGACATTGGCCGAGGTCCTGTGGGCAAGAGGAAGCCCTCTGGAGGAAGAAGAAATATGGGCACTCCTGTACCTGTCCACAATGCAGCTTCTGGAGGATCTTCACAAAGGTGAGGTAGAAAGTATCCCTTTTAGAGTTCTTACTGTGGAAATTAATTCTTGAGTTATTTTAATTCATTTGAATTTGTTTGCTTGTTTGTTTGTGGGGGTGGGGTGAAGACAAAAAATACTAATGGCACTAACAGCCTATTGCTAGTAAAAGTGAGAAACCTTTCAGTGCTGCTGGGATTATGTGCAGATTGCCCTATCTTCATAGAAGGTCTTCACACCATTTTGTTTGTTTATTTGTTGTTTGTTTGTTTATTTGTTTGTTTGTTTGAATTAAACATCAGGTAGTGATTAATCTAAGTACAACTATATGCAGACATAAGAGTTCTTCCTAAAGTCTGAGTAACGTGCACCCAGAGAAAGTGCAGTGCCAGCTAGGCTCATGTCCTTCATGGACTGATAGAGAAGGACAGGCAAATCCACATGGCTCTCCATTCAGCTAGCAAGAGACTTCTATTCTTCATGATAATAATGTGATCATTGTGATGACTGCTTGCCAAGCAGGCCAGCTTGACAGAGCACAGAGCACAACTGAGCAACAACATGAGAGCACAGTGAGCAACCTGTCACATTTTGAGAACTGTTTATGTGAATGGGTATTCCTTTTGAGGGGAGAAGGGATGAGACATGTTCTTACTTCATAAGCACGTAGAATCAAAGCACAAAATACAGAAAACAAGTGATGTGTTACTTCTACTGTAGCTGGAGGAGTGAAATTCATTACCAACTAGTTTTTAATGGGCTGGAACACTATAGAAGGTTGACTATACTATCAGTTCTCTATTAACTGGTGTAACAAGGGGATAGAATAACCCAGGAAATACAAGCACCAGAAATGTGCAAAGGAGTGAAGCACAGAGATACCCACTTTGATAGGTTCAGCACAGGTCCATCTATTGACTGTGTGCCAGACACTAAGCTGACATTATGCTCTTCTGATTGCTGAGCTAACAAAATTAAATTTAAAAAAAAAAAAATAATCAGCCTACGTTCCCTATGCTGTGCCAGATAAATCTAGGTTATCAGAACGTGAAAAATAAACCAAGAAGTAGGGATATACAACCAAGCTGGACTATAGACTAAGTGTAAGGCTGCTAACGCTTGTCTTTACAGAGTTCAGGTGCAGAAGTGATGCCAAGCCAGAATCATTCTGAAGCTGAATCCACAGTGCTCCAGTTTCTTAGAGCGCAGGGAAGGCTATTTTCAAGGCTAATATTGCCACATTTGCTGTGCTGTCCATGATCATGGCAATAAATCGTGCCTGATCTCATGATGGTCAGCATCACTTGCTATAGAATATTCCTGGTGTGCTGGGGCACTGCCAGGTTAGGCAGGAATGCCATTTGTGGCACTCAGGCAGACATGGCAGGCTGGCCAGCACTACAGAAGGCCAGGTATTCTCCACAAGGCTGAAGTACAAGCTGGCTGGCTGTTCCTAAAACAGACAATCTTCCTAGCATTTGTGACTTTGCATTCTATTTGCATACAACACTACAGAAAACATGGAAGGAGCAAAAGAGAACACTAACTGAAGGTAACCATGGTCAGAGAGCCCAGCGACCACCAGACAAGGCCACAGTGCCAAGGCAAGTCTGAGGTCAGGCTGGGAAGTCAGTCTGTGGGTCAGGACCAATAAGGTCCCCAAGCAGGCAAGTCATTCTGGGTACATCTCCACTGATGAGTTTGGTTATACAAGTGAGATTCCAGAAATATGATTTTCTGAGTGCAGTGAATTCAACATTATCTACTTAACATTTTTCAGACCCTGCCATCTATGTGATTTGCCCATGGTCAGTACTACTGTCTACTGAAGGAAATTTGTTCTTCCAAAACAATGCATCTCAGACAGAAGCTGCCCCTTTCAGTGCACCAGAATTGCTCCACAGCCCACGTAAAAAACAGCACTTTGGACTAACAAAGGTGAGGTATATTGCAGAGTGCATCTTGACAACACCTCATGAAGACAAGCTTGTGGGTTTTAATGCAACATACTAGGCACCTACTGTCACATCCCATTTCTAATAAAACTAATCAAATTAGGCTATAGTTACAAAGATTTACATATATCTTGCGGCTTGCCATTGAATTAGCATGCATGTCAACATCAAAATCGATTTTGAACATCATTCCCACAGGCCTGTATTATTTGTAAAGGCCCACAGAAATGAAGAACATTTCTATGAAATGGTGTTCAAGTAGATGTGGTAATTGTAATCTCAGAAGCAGCAGGACTGCAGTATCTGTGCAATCAGAGGATGGAAACAGTCCCAGCAAGTCAGAAATATGTTCACCTTTGTTAACAATTTATTTTTCTTCTCTCTGACAAATGAGACTCTCTGGAAAGACAGTAAGATACAACATTCAGGCACCTGAAAATTTTAAATGCCACTCAGACCACATACTCCCCTCAGGCAGGACACAGTATTTTCAGATTCATACATAACTGACCATTTAGACACCAGGCAGAAAAATTAAGCTGTGGAATAGGCAGCCTTATTCCAGTAATTATTTTCCTGCATACAACAGCTAGTCAGTCCCACAGGTAGGAAAGAATTTTAATCAGCAAAGGGAGAGCTTAAAAATTAAGGAAGGAGTTCAAATTTTTTTCCCTACTCCTGGCATCACTGAACAAAGGGCAGCCTGGCTCAGCCCAACAAGCTGAACATTACTAATGATGCCAAGATGATTCTTTACCTTTTCTTTTATATATCTTTCATATAACTTCTATGTAGCCTCAGTATTCTTAGCATGCACACTTGTAATTCCTAAAGTCTGATAACTTAGCATAGCCCTAGTATTTTTTAAGACAGGAGGTCAAACATCCTAAAAGCCTTATAGGAGGAGGCCAGAAAATGCTGTGCTATCTTGGGAAGTTATCAAGGTCTTCCCCAGAACATATCCTGTGAACTACAGATCTGGCCCATCTAGGGGGAAATTCTTCAGATGGGGAAATATCACACCATTCATCCAGGCCTCCCCTTGGGACATCCTTGTTAGATATGCTAACTTGTAAACATATAGGTGATCTATCATATGTGTGCATTGTGGCATATTCCACTTGGGTGAAATGGTGCACCATAAGGATCCTTATTAAAATACTGATAAAAAACCCTTATCCCTTAACCATGTCTGGCTCTCAAATTTTTAAGACCAGGAAAAGGCATCTCTAAGTGCATGCAACCTAGTCCATAAGCTACGAGTCACTATTTTACTTTTAGATATATTTAGTCTATTTAAAAAAAAAAATCATCTGTGTGACTTCTGCCATTTTGTGACCAAAGACAGAAAAAGATGGTGTGTCTTGTATGACACAAAAAGTATGAGGCTTTTCTGTACTAACTATTGATTTCACACAGGGTTTCCTTTTTTGTTTTGACAGATGCTGGTATATTCCTTAGGAATGACCCTCTATTGGTCAGCAGATTACCAGGTTCCTCCAAACCAGGCCAGTAACACAAACATTTTTGTTTTATTTTATTCTGGTAGGTTCAAAGAATGAGAGGCACAGTTTGAAGTATCACTAAGAGGGGCTTTGTGTTTTGGACCACTAGAAAAGAATGGAAGAGTTTGTGTCAAGGTCTAAGCTTCACCAAAAATATCACTTCATTGGAGCTCATCTTACCTTGCCTTGTCTTGCCTTGCCTTCTGTTTCTTCAAAAACCAGAACTGTTCTTATTAAGACGAATTGTAGTTTGATTATAAGGATGATTATTTATTCCAAGACCATTAGGAACAAGCTACCCAAGGAAGTGGTAGAATCTCATGCCTGGAAGTATTTTAAAGATGTGTAGCTGTGGCACTTAGGGACATCATTTAGTGATAGACTTGCCAGTGTTAGTTTTATGGTTGCACTAAATAACATTAAAGGTCTTTCAACATAAATTATTCTATGATTCTCTTATTCTAAGGTAGACAGGACTAAAACAAAAACATTATGTTGGCATGATTGTGGTGCTGTGCACATTTATGTGCTTTTTCAAAAATGGGATGGAAGAATAAAATTAACTCCCCTTATTTCTGAACAAATTCTATCAGTATCTCTGCTAGATGAAATTATTAATTTCTTAATTACTCAGAACCCTTTCAAAGACTTGTAACATGCATTTTGCTTCTTTTCTATATTGATGCTTTTGGTTTGTTCTCAATTTGGTGAGCACAGGCTTCCAGTAGATTTAACTTCCCTTTTACATTCACAGAGAAAAAGCTTTATAAGCTAAATGGCCTTAAAATATAAGTATCTGGTCTCTATGACAACAGTTTTGGCTGGTATAACTCCTTACCTTTTTGAAGTTAATGCTACCACATATCTTACTTCCATGAATATTTGAATCACAGTCTAATTAACAAAGCTCTGGAGCAAACTGAACTGTCTGTCACCAAGAAGCCTCTAATTGGGCCAATGATCTTTCTTGGGAGATGTCAATGCCTTCCAAGGCTATCCTGGATCCCACTAGAGGTTCATTCATTGCTGTTATGCTGCTTGTCTGGAATTTTCCCAGAGTCTAAAGGAATTCAGTGCATGTTTCTCACCCAGAGAAAAAGGCTTACAGAAATTCCTGGTCCTAGTTTACACAGGATTTCAGTCTCCTGGGAGATGCCATTTAACAGTACCTCTATTTTGATGCAGTCCCTCCAGCTGAGTGACCAACTACATACACTCTTGCTGACACTCTGTGAAGATCTGCCACATAGAAGACTTTCTCCTGAATCCATTCTGGAAGCATGTGAAGCACATCAGAAGGAATCTGCTTCCTTACCACCAAAATTCTGCATAAAGAAAATGGTTCAGTTTGCAGTGGGAAGTGTCAGTGAGGTAGGTACTACTCTCACACTCCATCTCCTTTTCTGTGGTAAGAGAGGTGCACAGCAACGTGGGACATCGGTGAGTGATTGCCAAAATTAATGTCTGTATGCATTAAGGAAGTGAGATCTAAACTAAAGTGAGTTCTAAACTTCTAGGCAGAAAGTTGTGTGGGCATGTGTACAAGCAAATAAAGCAACAAAGCCGTCTCACCACTTCTATGATGCCTTGAGAAGGCTGCCCTAGAACAGAGGCTAGACAGTTAAGAAGTAAGGTAGGTATTTATTGAAAGGCCTTAAAGGATACACTTGGAGCAGTACAAGAGCCTGGCCAGGGCTACACCCAAGATAGACCTAAAAATGGTCACAAAATGGAGGATTGGTCACAAGGTCTCACATTTTTGTAAGTTTTGGTCCATTTGTATATTGGGGTTAATTGTCCAATTACAGCTCCAGGTTATGAAGTCCCATCCTTCGTGTTTTCTCTCCTCAATCCACTGTTGTTTATGCTTTTGGGCCTGAAACTTGTAACAATTGTCCTTGGTATCAAGCTCAAAAAGGAATTGTTTTGTCTACGTGCTCTGTGAAGGGAGCTCACTAACACCTAATATGAAGCTCAAAACTGTACACCTAGGAAGCACAGAATCTGAAAAATATGAAAGATAAAACTTAAGGTATCATCTACACTCCTAGGAAGTGACTGAGCTTTTGTACTTAGAGTATCTTTGGTTAATACTGAAACAATCATAACTTTTACAGAGACCTCGTATTGGCCATAGTAAAGGACTTTATACAACAGTAAGGATTTCTCCATTGCCAATCTGGTTTCAGACCTTCTTCACAAAATTTAAAAAAATCTCATTTACGTCATGTTAGGAAATTAATTCATTGTCCTTGAGTGGAACTGAATATTTGCTGTGAAGTCAAGCAGGACCATACGAGATCTTTAATAAATGATCACATAAGTTTTTTCAAAATTTGGAGTATCAAAAACTATTTTTGTTCATAAACTGAATGACAGTGGAAGAAAACAAAGCAGAATTCTTTTGTTTTCAACCAGTGTTCATTAAAATTTTGAGAATATTTTTTCCCTTGCACTCTTTCTTACTCTCTTTGCTACTGTAACAGAGGGTGACCCCTCTTAAACTTAGCTAACATGACAGCATGGAGCAAACATACTCAGTCCCGCTTGTGTTAATCTGAGAAAATAAAGTTGCTTATACAAAGCAGCCTCTGACAGCCAGAGGACAAGGATTACTTCACTATGAGAGTCTGAAGTTCACATATCATATGACATTCACTTTCAATATTACTGCCTTCTAGACAGAGCAGGTGGTCACTGAAGACAGCACAGCCTCCCAGCTGAACAGAAGTCATGTGATAAGGAAAAGACTGCATGAGAAAATATCGGACACCTCAGTGCTGTCATCCCAGATGAATTTTCACCAAGGTAAAGAAAGATTAATAATCTGAACTCTCTAATAAGGATACAGACAGCCTTTTCTGTGTCTTTCCCAAGGTAGATGGATTGTTTAATTTCATGCTGTAGTGATTACGTGTATTCTTGGATTGGATAGTTATTGCTTTACATATAAATTACTTCATAATGGAAAGACTCTGAAGCGAGTCAGTGAGGTTTCTTTTCCTTATTTCCACAAAGGACAGTAGTCTCAGGGCTGTGAAGCAATGATAACAAATCAGCTTGCACAGATTGGACTCTTAAAGCACTTTGCATAAAACCTGTGCATATAAAACTCCTCTACTTTCAAAACTGCTTTTGTACTTTGTATACTCCAGTGTATTTGTGAAGGTGGGGTTCTGTGAGGTTATCCTCCTGCCATTAAGGAATATATATTCATCTTTCCTATTTGATTACTCAAGCAAAGGTTTGTAGTCTCTTTTTGATTTTAGTTTAATTTTCTATTCAAAAGATTTCTTATAAATTCACATATGAATTGCTGGAGTGATTTCAAGACAAGGTCAAATCCTGCTCACTATATAAATAAACAAGTATATACCAATTTTTTATTTCTTTTGACTAAGATCAAGATTTATTATCCCACAGAGTAATGCTAAAACTGTATCTTTTTTTTCTAGTGTCTACACTGTACTGTTCACTTTGACAGAGATCTCTTATTTTGGGGCAAGGGGAAAGCTGGCCCAAGCTATACAGGATTTTTTTTGGATATGCTCAACATTAGGCATCCGAGCAATAAAATTCCAATTCAGAAAATCACACATATGCCCGGTGAAATCTGCTAGAATCAAACATAGACTTAAATACATCTGAAACATTTCTATTAGGTATTATTGATGATAAGAAAAGGGGATTCTTTTGGAAACATGCAAACAAACTACTCCTCAAGCCATAGTGGTTCACTTACTCAAGAACTGAGCTTGTAGATTCGCACTTGCCAAATTAGGTAGAAATCCTGCTGCTGCCAAAAGGGATGGCCCCATCTTCAACCCGAAATTCACCACAAATTCCTGCCAGTTTCCTTCCACTGGTTCTAGGGATTGTGTATTTGGTGTGATCTCTGTGTTTGCCTGTGATTCAGGTCACTTGATTTACGTGTGCTGAAGAACTTCAATGAATTAGGGTGTCAATTACATTGAAAATGTGTGAGCCGCACTTTGCAAGACAGAATTCCATTTTTTCCTTTGTTTTTAATTAAAAATTATGCTTCAGAGATTCTGTAAAAGGGCAAGAGAGAATGCAAACAAAGTAAAGTCAGTGTGCAAGAAAAATATGTACATCCTAATGAATTAGGATGACCCCTTAAAGGAATTTCTGCATCTGACTCTGGTGGTGGATTCTCTCTGAGCATTGTCCATCCTGCACACAGAAAGAAGTTATAGCTCAAGGTTTTGGACTTCAGAGTACAAGGAATAAGATCTTTGCAGCTTATCTGCACTTCGCAACCTTTCAGTTAAACATGCAGAACAGAATTAATGTATTAGATTTGTTTTATATGGAATGGTTGAGAACTATGAAAACCAATTTTGGTCAGAGTAAGATTATAAAAGTAGTAGAATGAAGTTGCCAAGCTGTCCTCAGTCTGTTAGGATTTGGAGTCAGGGTTAGAAGACAGAAGGATATGGACTATATAAAAATTAGTTAATATTGTTTACATTAACATACAAATACAATGATTTATAATCAAAGTGTATGATTCACCACATTTCCTTTCTGTTTCCAGACAAAGGGTCCAGATTAATGAACTATAGTCAGTCAACAGAAGATTACAGACAACTCTCTGTGGATTATAGTGACTCTAATAGTATTTCGGAAAGTACATCTTTGATACTGTCTAACCGAGGACACAGGAGAGGTAAGATTTTTATAAAAGATTATGTTTGTGAATTATGTCTGATTTTGTCCCCTGAGGTGTGAGACTGATCATGTGTCAGGTGATAGATACTCCCATGCAACTTGTGGTTATGTGACTTGGGAGGTATATCTATGCTAAGTTATAGAGAAGAAAGATGCTTTTATATTAGATTTTTTTTTCGCTTGTGTCCTACTGTAAAGCTATCTATTCTCAGGTTAACATGTAGTCCCATCACCTCATTTTTGCTTGCCCCCTTTTCCAGGTAATGCTGTTCAGCAGATCTCAAAGCCTGACATGCTTTTAACACGTGGGGTCTTGATACAGAAAAGGTGGGGCTACCGCACAAATGCATATGGTGGGCAATGTCAAGATGTCAGCTCTGAAATCAGCTGAATCTATAAACAATGCCTAAGAGTGAATGTTCTATGAGGACATAATTCAGAAATTGGGCACATCCTGGGGAAAAAACCCACCACATCATAAACTCTCAGCCCTAAGCCCTCAGCCCAAGGATGAGGAAAGTGAGGTTACTCATGTTAATGCTCTCCTCCTGCGTTTTTCTGAAGCTCCAAAATTGCAACCAAACCCAGCAGCAGTAAAAACCTGAGACTGCAGATGCTCCCTGAGTGACACATACGTGTCAGCCACATACACAGTCACACACAGTGAAGGTAAACTCAACAGAAGCCTGTTATGTAAGCAGTTTAAAAAACATTTTGGTCATAAACTTGACAAAGGCTTGACAAAGTCCAGTGACTGTGCATATCTCAATCTCCACTGAAACACTGGTAGCTGTTCATACTCAGGATTTTTTAAGATAGGATTCTAAAAATACATGAGTAAACACAGAATGTGAGAGCTTGTTTGTCAGACATTCTTTCATGAAATAATATATTTTTAAAAAAAGCATTCTTCTCTGAAAAAAATGTTACCATCTGGTAGAGCACCATTATCAAAGGAGATCAATATCTCTATCAAAACTGTACATTAGAAGCTCATTTAATATATAGTAAATCTACAGCATCAACTTCTTTGAAGAATACATGTTAATTTAATGCCAGGTATGTGTTGGATTTGTGATCAAAGCATGGCAGTCTGGCCACTGTAAGTAGCCAAGTTGTCCCACTGCTGTAACAGCTGATATGGAAAAACTAAGGGGAATTTTATGTGCTTGTCAAAATATATTTATACAATTTTATGAAAACCACAGTGTAAGCAGAGAATTTTGAGAGGTTTTCTCACAAAAAAGCATGTTGTTTAAGAACACAGGATTGAATCTTAACTTTGGTAACTAGCTTATCTCAAATCTCACATTTTGTCACTACCATCTGCAGCTTGAAAAAGCCCCACATGTTTATTCTTATTTTAGCAATGCGACTGTAGATGCTCTAGGTTTTAAAATTGCAGTTGGTTGGTTGGTACACTAGAATTTGGTGTCATGTTCTCATGTTGGAATTCAGAGTGAAGTCTCAGGGTGTAGTGCATGAATGTTTTATCTAAATGATTGCTTCCACACAGCTTATCTTACCACCTCTATCATTCTACTTATGTAATAGTTTGATATGCAATTCTTCAAATAGGATCAATGAAATGATTCAAGTGAAGAAAAATTTAACCTTCTGACCCTTCCCTAAGAACTTCAAACATCTCTGTTGATACAAGAGACATCCACAGAACTTGCATAACCCTCTGGTTCTGCCTCTAAATTTCAACCTTCGTGTATTTGGACAAAGCAACATCCATCCATTCTGTAGCAACAGAGATGATTGAAGGTGAAAAACAATGCAATCCTTATTTGCTAAGGACCCATAAACCATCCACTACTCCCACCATGTTTTTATGCTGTAAAAACATTCACAATATATTTAACATAACAAGTAACCAGGGGAAGAGATATAATAATTTGCATTTCATTGATTTTATATTCTACTCTGATTAAGCCAGAGAAGTTTCATGGCTTTTTCTACCCATTTTATGCTGGAAAATAGAAGAACAATAATTTGGCATAATTTCTGAAGAGAAAAAGCTGTTTCACAAATTACCCTGATACAGATGGAAATGACAGCCATTGTACCTACACAGCTGTTTTCCAAATTACATTCACATAAAGGGTTATGAAGAGGAAGTAACAATAACTAGAGAACTGGGAACACTGCTGCTGTAGCATTCATTAACCTTATTAAATAGCCATTTATCATGTCCAAGCAAGGACACAAGAGAAGAAGTTGCCAGTCTAAATTTCTTTCCTGTTGTAATTGTCCCAACATCTGATGCTGAGTGCTGCTACTATCACTTGAAATGTATAATTTCCTTTATTTACTGCAGGAAGAGCTGCAGAGACACACAGAACATGTGACACCCCACTCAGTGGGTCAAGGACACAAAGTAGCTACAAGCTCTTCATAAACAGGTAAGCTCAAATCAGATTTTTATAAAATGGAAGCTGTTTTATAACCATGGTTATGTCATACCATTTATACAATCTATAATTTTCATTTGCATTTCCACCTCAGTCCTTAGACTGATTTTTCTCACTTGTGTCAGTCATATCCAGCCTTACAGTGCCACTTTACTGGAGAGTTACAGGTAATCCAGGGACACAGGCACTAAAGACCTCTGCTCTGTCATGAGGATTAGCCTCATTTCAGCCATGGTATGGACAGCAGCCCTGTAGACATTGGCAAAGGAAACTGAGAATTGTACAACTGATACTAACTCCTTTTCAAAAGCCAGGGTAACACCACTGCTGCCAAACAAGTTTTCTAGACTGTGTGTTAGCACAGTGCAGCTATAATCATGACTGTTTCCAAACAAAGAAATGTAAGTACTGTCAGCCTCTAGGCACCACAAAGACCAGAATCCCATAGTTAAGCACCATGTAATCCCTACAGACATCCCATTTAAATTGGGTTCTTGACCCAGTTAAACAGGAGTTTCTGCTTTTAACATGACACGAGTAATTCAGGCCCACAGGAAATGCTAAATTTAGATCAACTCCAAATTAAATGTGTCCCAAGTAAACAGTTTGAACTTCCTGATAAATCAACCATGATAATCTGGGCAACATGAAATATTCCAGTACCTGTAAAACTGCAACAAGAGAGATCTACAAGCAGGTTGAAGGATAGTGGCTGCTTTTGTCATGAAAGAAGTCACTGTCTACTTGTCTAACTACACACACATACATTTATATGTGTGTTCACAGACATCTCTATATGCATCATGTATCTAGCAGTTATATGAGTAACAGAGGATTTATTTGCTGACTACTTCTGAGCAATTGCCATACCTCTGACTAAAAACCTGGATACAATCTTAAAATGCTTGATCTAAAATCATGCTGCCAAGAATGAGTTTCCCTCCTCTGCTGAAAGATGAACACTGTTCTCCAAATTTCCAGCAAGGTTTTTCCCATAGAACTTCCAGGACTGTAAATCCCACTCCTGGTTGTAAGCATCTGCAACTGGATTTCTACCACAGTTACCATCCAATTACAAATACCATGACAGCAGTGGAGTTAAAATGACTTTGGGAATCACCAGTTTCCCATGTAGGAGTACAACCAGCACAAAAATTAGCGATGGGTTTACTATCTATAAAGCTTACTGATATCATCATGCTCATTCTGCAGGCAGCCCAATTAACATACTTAACATCTCACAAAGCGAAGCTTGTAAGCATGGCTCTGCTCTATATATAAAAAAGACACAACTGTCAAATCTGGCATCTCTCACCTAACAGTAGTAATAAAAGGAAATGTTTTCCACAGGAAAAGAAAGCCTTCTTAAAAAAGAATCTTGGATTTTGAGTTAATAAATGTTGATCTTTATGAGGTTGCAATGACAGAAACAAAATCCTCGATATCTTTATAGAGAGAGGAATGTAAAATACAATAGGAAAAAAGAGAGAAGAGAAGAGAAGAGAAGAGAAGAGAAGAGAAGAGAAGAGAAGAGAAGAGAAGAGAAGAGAAGAGAAGAGAAGAGAAGAGAAGAGAAGAGAGAGAAGACAGAAGAGAAGACAGAAGACAGAAGAGAGGAGGCTCAAAATAATCATCTAGTCCAACTCTCTGACCACTTAAGGGCTGATCAAAAGTTAAAGCATGTAATTAAGGGCATCCCCAAATGCCTCTTAAAAATTGATGGGCTTGGACTAGTGACCATCTCTCTAGGAAGCCTGTTCCAGTAAAGTAACTTTACTTAGTCCCCTTCTAAGTAAATAAATGGTTCCTAACATCCTCTCTGAACCCCATCTACTGCAGCTTTGAACCACACCCATGTTCCCTGTTATAGGATACTAGGCACAAGAGATGAAAAACTACTCCAGTTAATTTGTTAAAATTTTTAGAAATTCCTTGAATGGTTTCCTGAAGTAAATCTGCAATGTGCAAAAGAAAAGGATAAAACTTTGGGACAATGGAAAAGTTTCCATGTGTCTTTGACATTTGTTGAAAAAATGTAATTAACAAAAATCCACCTGAATGAAGCCCCTCCTTCTGAACCACGTAATCATCATTTGTTCATTGAGTACATAGTATATTTGAAGTTTATTCTAAGGATATACATCTGTTCACATGGAATACACCATTACTTTCTTCATTAAAACTATAGTCCTAAGAGAGCTTTCTGATCTGAGATTTCATGCACCTTTTTCTTAATTAAATTGAAAATTCCCTTAGCTCCCAAGGACATTAATATATCCTAATGAATAAGTATTCAAATAATTTAATTCCTATTCCTGGAAAATTCTGAATAATGTAACAACAAATGTTAAGGCTCTCTGAAGCTTTTTTCTCGAGAAAATAATAAATGAGGAATTTGCTTAATCCTGTAGAATTCCCAGAAGGGAATGGAGATATCCTCTTACACTGTTGGCTTCACCAAATTTAAACCAACTAGATCTGGCTCACTAAATGAAAAACAAACAAACAAACCTGACTCTATTGAATCAAAGCAGAGTTTAGATTTATTTATAAAGGGCACCAGTGATATTACTCCTGTTAAATTATTTCTCTTCTTCTGTAAAGAAGCATCAAGAAGCTTATAAGAGACATTGCCTTTGACTTCATAGTATTGCAGTAGTTACTGTACCTTAAGCTCTCTGTCCCCAAGTTGGTGTTGTGTTGATTGCATGTTATATATTTTCCTCACTATGACATTTCCTTTGAAGGTCGGTGAGCGCTGTAGAAGAAATCCCGGGTGGAACACAGAAGAACAACAGACAGAACCTACTAAGCTTGGGCTCCACCTTCTCTGTGTCTACAAAGGACTACTCAGCAGCTGCTGCATCACAGAAATGTTTGTTCCACAGGAAAGAAAAGGTGAATGATGAAAAACATATAAGCTGATTTCAAAATACCACTGAAGAGAAGTCTCTCACCTAATTTTTGTTCAACAGTGATGTGCATATTAGCTACTGAGTCATCTTATTAGATGAGTATTCTAAATTGGCAGAATCCAAATTAGGCATGATCCAGTTGTGTTGTCAGAACTGAAGGCAGTGAAAGCAATTGTCCATAAAGACTATGCAAAAGCTGATAATTGAACCCTCTCTGACCTACATATGTGATTTCTGCAAGCATCAAACACCATATGGACTGTTTTCACCAACCACTTTGACTTCAGCTTCAGAACAGTAAAAAAAAATTACGGAGACACTTAACCCAAACCTCTGCCAGCCAATGGTGCTCAAAGGACTTAATTTTTTTTTTTACAGTGCATATCTGGACAGAAAGCATAGACCAGCAGTGAATGTGCCCAGACAGTTCTACTAATTGACTATTTCTAGTTGCTAAGTTGTGGTAGGACTCTGTTAAATGGAAAGGATAATGTTTCTTTAAAAGTTGGATTGCAAAAATTCAGAAATAACTGAATCACTGAAAACTCTGTATGGAGTTTTCTGTTGTGGAACAAGAAGGGACAGGTTTCAGGCTGATGAGTCCAGTTCAGAAGCTCAACAGTGACCAGTGACAAATATTTGGCCAAGAGCTTCAGCTGGACACTTTGGAAAACTATCTTTTCTCATATAATTTTTAAATTTTTTTATTATTTTAGATTTAATTGTTTTTAAATTTCATTATTATGATTTTAGTGGGGATAATAATGGCCTTTTACAGAAGGAGTTCAGCAGCTGTTAAACACAGTGCTATTCCCTCTTTATTGTGATACAAAACTGCATTGTTTGTTGGTAGGACCATACTATTATTATTATTAAATAAATATTGGATTTTTTTTAAAGTATCTGAATGGGTCTAGTTACTAAGTCATGGTAAATGGCTAGAAGGATTCACATCTTATTACTTGAAGACAAGGGGGATCTAAAAGCATAGATGTATCTGATGAAAACCCAATATATACAATTAGTTGAGCTGAATGCTCAGCAAGAAAAAAAGACCTTAAAAAATGTTGAAGTTATTTGAAGTTAAAACAAAAGAATACAGTGTCTCCTAATAAGAACTATCAATCAACCTTTATTATAGAGAGGACTGTATTTCAGTCTAGCTCCTAAGAAAGCTGGGCTTTTTCAATCACAGTGGTGTGTATGTATGTGTTTACATGTCTGTGACTGTCCTCAGAGTAATTTGGGAATCAAATGAGAAAAACTCTCAGAATAGTTTCTGTGCCATGAAAACAGGTGCCTTTCAAAGGAAATGGATTAAGTGCCTTTACAGAGGAAAAGGCTTCAGCATGAGCTTGCCCCTACTTAGACCCTGGAGAGTTTACACAGGAGAGACCCCAAAGAGAGGGAAGTCATCAGTCAGCATTTGCACCTTATTAGACACTGAAGTCAATTAGGTCCAGCATACAGATCAATAGAAATGGGTTTCATTGATACTTGTGTTTGGGATCTTCATTCCATTAAGAAGACTTACTAAATTTCTAAATTGTCTTCTTGCAGTTTTCAGGTCCAGAGTTTATTATTTTGTCTAGTGAACCACCAGTGACCTTACAGCTGCCTGGATCAATTGTGGTAAGTATGAACATTAAGAATTTAGAACTAATCCAGTGACATTTTATTCAGGGCTCTTTGTAAGTAGCACCTCAGTCTCAACCCAGTATTCTTCCCATGTCCTCCTCTCAAAACAAATTAGGGTTCCTATAGAGGTAATGATACTTGAAAGGATATGCTTTAATTCTTAGCGCTATTTAGTTACTTCTGTGGCTGCAAAAAAAAGCTTCATTTATCCTTCTCAGCTAAGAATGCTCACTTTAGCCCTAGACTTTTGAGACAAAGACTGTACAGCAAATCTGCAATATGACATTCTAATGTGAGGGACTTCTCCAGCTTGAAAGCACATACCTTACCTTTGCTTAAGATTGGGTAGAAAGTTGACAGCAGACAGCAGTAAAAATGAGAGCAAAGCAAATTTGGAATTAGCCAGAAATCTAGAATAACCCTGGTGACTGGAGAATTTGAGTATGCTCAGCTGTTTTGTTGTGATTCTCTTGTTTTTTTTTTAAAAAAAGAAATGTTTGTGATATTAATTTATGAGAAGGAAGACAGAGAATATCATGGTGTTGTGACCAGTTCCAACAGGTTGTATAGAGACAGGCTACTAGTGGGCCTCAGTAATAAAATGCTGTGGAACTCGCATTGCTTATACTTGGCACTCATTCTTCATTCTTTTTTGTGTGTTCTTAGACTAAAAAAGGGAAATCCTATTTGTCCCAAAGGGATCTTAATGTAATTCTACTCAATGGCCAGTGCCTTGAGGTGCAGTGTGACATCAAGACCAAGGCAAGAGATGTTTTCAATACTGTGGTGGCATATGCAAACTTGGTGGAACATTTCTACTTTGGCTTGGCTTACCTGAAAGGTAATGAGACACTTAAGTACAGTGACACCTCTGTCCCTCAGTGCCTCTGGAGTCACTTTATCAATGAGTTCCAGTAAGATCCTTTAAGATTCTTAGGTAGAAGCAGATACAAAGCTTGTGCAAAAATAAGGTATGTTGGTTAAAACTACACTGCACTGATGGAAAGCATGTCTGCCCTAGGACTGTGCATCATCACAGCCATATGACATTTACTGGCTGATATTCCCAGGCAGAAAATGCTGTGTCCCAGCCTTGCACTCAAATAATACTGAGCCATGCAGCTCCAGCAGAAATTCCAAGAAGCAGTGCACTGGGAAAGGTTGCCTGTGTTTATTCCTAGATATAAGTGGGAATATAGGTTCAGATATGTCATCTACCAGACCCACGTTTCCCCCTCATGCCTTCTGCTGGCAGGCACAGCTGAGGCACTGGGAAAGAGCACACACCTTGTGTGTAGAGCATGAGGATTACAAAGGGGTGCAGAACCTGAATGGTGAGAAGAATGCAAGCCCCATGAATCCTTGAGTGATTTCACAGATACCATACTAATTCAGCATCTAACATTTGTAATTCAAAATTACATACTGTCCTAAATTCCCTATCAAAGGAGCAATAAGTAAAATCATGACACAGAGAAGTAAATCTCAGCTGACATCCCCAATCCATTTTATGTTTTATTGCTAGTGATGCACTCAACGAAGACAGCAGAACTTTAAGCTGCTGAAATATATCCAGGTTTATCACAGAACCCAACATTCTCATTTCAGGTAAAGAATTCTTCTTTTTGGATGAGGAGACCAAACTCTACAAAGTTGCCCCAGATGGCTGGAATGACCAACCCAAGAAGAAAATGTCCATCATTAATTTCACACTCTTTCTAAGAATAAAATTCTTTGTCAACCACTTTAATGTTATTCAGTAAGTTCACAATTCTGCTAATGGAAGGAAAACCAGTAGCATTTAGGGATACCATTCAAAGCTGCTCCTGAATTCCTAAACCCTTTTCTATTCCAGGCACGGCTTGACAAGGCATCAGTTTTACCTGCAGCTTCGTAAAGATATTTTGGAGGAGCGATTATATTGCAGTGATGAGACTGCCCTGAAACTCGGCGCTTTGGCTTTGCAGGCAGAGCTTGGCAATTATGCTTCTGAGGTGTGGAGAAATAATGCAGTATTTCTCAGAGGTCTCTCTGTACAACTTTTGCAGCTTTTGTTTGTCACATAGTGTTTAAAGAGGAAATGTGAACAGCAGAAAACTTCAGTTAAGTCCTCCAGATAGGTCCTTCAGACTTAATAAAAAAAAAAAACCAACAAAATTTTTCTGATGATGGAATAGTAATGAGCCAGGTGAATTTCCCAGGAAATACGACAGAATGATGAGAGAACCTAGGTTCCTCATAATTGATAAGATATCCTGGAAACTCCAGAAAATCTGTAGAAAGTTTCCAACACAGGCCCAGTTTGGACATGCAGAGGGGTTTAAAGAGATTAGTAAATAGGGAAGAGAAAAGAAAATGAACACTTCAGAATTCACAGCTATTTTATGTCTCTGTATATCTGACTAGCTGTCCTACTTTTGAAGTGTATAGAAAACACCCATTTATGTTGTCTTCTGTATCTTCAGCTACGTAAATCAGTGTAGCTCTGTTAATTGAACTCTGAGTGGTCTGATCCATGTGGTCAGATCTATCATGGCAATGCAGGTTGTACTGATGTACTGTTGTACTGGTGCAGCTGTAGCTGTCAGCAGTGCAGGACACACCTGTAGCTCCTTTCTCCCCTCTGCCCAAAGAAGTGGTGTGTGCTTGGAGCAGCCACCCGAGCACAGGGGCAAGAGGCAATTTGGCTGTCAGGACACTAGGTGATGTTCCCACTTTCCTTTGGGAAGTGGCAGCAGGGTGACTTCTGCATATGGGTCACCCTGAAAATGGAATGCAGTGAATAATAAAAGTCAAGAAAGAAGAAAAGGCCCCTATCTCTTTGGTATTTTTTCAATTTTTTTTCCCCTGCAGATGCATGGAAAGAGCTATTTTCGTGTTGAAGACTACGTTCCAGCAAGTCGAATAGAGAGAATGACCCTGGCATATGTACAGCGAGAGCTTGCTAAATTACATCGTATGAATCGCTCCCTATTTGAGGATGAAGCTGAACTAGAATTTTTAAAGGTAAATTGCCTTACCCCAAACACTATTGATTAATTTTGAGGTAGAAAGTCCCTCTCTAGTTACTCTTGTCTGTTTTCTTCTTGCCTGATATGGTGGGTTTTAGATATGGTGAAAAATTTGTATAGTCAACAAAAATCTCAGTATTTCATTCTGCTGTAGATACTGTCACTCATCACTGAGAGTTTTCATAACACGTTTTGGTGTATTTGCAGAATTCTAAGGCTTGATGTAAATTTTTGGCATGTTACCAACATGTCTGGGCTCCAGAAGATTAGAAAACATGAGAATAAACACTTTTTTGACTTCAGAAATTACAGCGACTGTTCAGCCACTTTCTAAACATGTAGTGATTGTTTAAAAGTATCTGTGAACCCTGGAAGTGAGGAAGGAGTTATCTGAAGTATTTTTTCATTTGTCTAGTTCTGTAGGGCTCTAAAGCATCACAATGTTGTGGGATTTAACTTTTTCCTGCTAATTTGTCCTTCTCCCCAAACCTCTCTGCTTTCCATCAAATGAAAAATATCAGGGATTAAATAATGGATAAATACCACTAGTCATTTTGCTGCAGTGCCACACACTATTATTCATAGCATTTTAATTCAGCTGCTATTTAATTTTATTAGTTCCTCATCTAACACTGTCAGTGCAATTGAAGAAAAAGATTGAAGCTTAGCCTTAATGACAGTCCCATCATGCGTGGCAAATCCAGTGAAGAAAAGCAGCTTTGTTAGTATCTGTTTCAATAAGTCTGTAGAAGGAGCCAACACATCATACAAAGTGGGAAAGACAGACCCCATGGCAAGAGCATGTAAATTCCAAATATGAAAGGGATTAAAAATTAAAACCAGATTCAGCTAGTGATTATAGATGCCCTAGTTTTCAGGACCTGAACATTTGTACTATGGTTACTTTCTAAAAAAAATAGATCTTCTTAAAGTGTTTTATTTTGGTCACTGAAAATCTCTGTTCATAATTGAAAAGTCATTTGGGGATTCTACAGTAGCTTCCCAGAAAGGAAAGATAAGGTTTTAGGATAAACTTATATTGGTCTGCAGATCAGACAGTAAATCCTAGTTATATTCCAGAGCTCTGTAAAGTGTCTGAGTCACATTTTAACACTTTTGTGGCAAAATACAGGAGGTAGAAAGACAAGCATGAACCCCCAGAACCTCTGGGTGAGTTCCTCAGAATATCCCCTGCATGGCAGGGGCAGACACTGGCTCCTCAGACACTCAAAAGCATTTTCTCCTCCATCTACCCAGCTTTTCTTCCCGTGAATCTTTTTGAGTAAGGCATGGTAAAAGCACTTTCTCTCTACAAGGTGACTCAGCAACTTCCTGAATATGGAGTGTTATTCTATCGTGTATCCCAAGAGAAGAAAGGGACAGAAGGGGACATCATCCTTGGAATCTGTGCCAAAGGCATCATCGTCTATGAGAACAAAAATCACACAAGAATTGCCAGTTTAAGATTCCAGTGGCGTGAAACAGAGAGAATTTCAGCTCATGTGAGTTGGAATTAACTGAATCTCTCTCTAAAATATCTACTGTTTTACTGCCTTTCTTCCTGTTGTTTTGACAAATTTATTGCATTCAGAGTGAGAATGAGAGTGACTCTATTTGGGCAAGTCCTTTCTGAAAAGAGTTTAAAATCAAAGCTTGATTGGGATGTGGATATGAAGATACTGAATCCTTTGTGAGGTATAGTTCTGCAGTATTTATGTCAAGACCAAAGACAAATGACTATAAAATTGAATAATCTGGTGCTGATTATTACAGAGACTATGCCAAATTTCTCTACAGCATATTCTATACTCATTCCTCTCTTGTCTTTACTGCTCTTTTCTTCTGTTTTTCTGCCTACATGAGTTCATGGGATTATGTCTTCCACTTTCCAGATCTCATTATACTCATCTTCATCTCCTTGAATATTGAGGTCTGCTAACAAACTAATATTGGTGACAAGATTGTGACCCATTTCTAAATGGGATTTTGACATTAGAGGTGTATCAATGTACTGTTGTACAGTTTAGGTGCCAAACTGGATCACAAATTTTCCAGCTTGCTTGCTCTCCAAAAATAGTCCTTCTCTCCCTTGAAGATATGTTCCTTTTCATATTAAATTTGTTTAATAATTTTAACATCTGTGGGGCCAAATGTTGCAGTTTCAGCAACCTGCTGTCAATGCATTCAATGTCCTAAGGTTCTTGACTTTCAGCATAGAAGAGTTATGATCCCAATGACAGACACCTGGCTTACAAGTGCTGAATTTACAGCAGGCATTTCCTGCACGCAAAAGGGATGCAGTCAGGCATAAATACAACCGGAACAAACCAACAAGATTATAAAAATGAACTGCCAGTGCCTCAGTGTAGTGACTGATATATGAAGCAACCTGTGCTTTTATTTCCCCTTCAGAGAAAAAAATTCATGATTGAAAGCAGTTTCAGTGGCAAGAAACACACCTTCATTACTGATACAGCAAAGACATGTAAATACCTACTGGACCTCTGCTCTGCCCAGCACAAATTCAATGCACAGATGAATTCTAGGCAACTTCGGCAAACTTCATCAGGTGAGGTATAAATGCACTTTTGTTACAGGGACCATAGGACAAGGTTATGTTTTAGGTAAGGTACATGCACCAAATCTGAGAATTAGAACCTGCCAACTCAGTTTCACTCTGCTTCAGTAGAAAATAATTTCTCCTACTACACTGAAAGTTAGAAGAGTCTAATTTGTCTGATTAAGTCTAATTTGGCATATGTATGTTGGTAGGCATGTGCAGGGGATGAAGAGAGATTCTCTGACTAAAACAACTATGTAGCTGAACTCAGATTTAAAAAAGAAATAAGCATGATTTCACTTCCCTTCAGGAGAATTCTGCTGCTGAAAATTCTGCAGAAATATATCAGACCTACCCCAAATATAACCTGAAAAATGTTCCACACAAATTAAAACTATAATAGTGCCCAGACATGCTGGAGCTGAACTTAGTTATTTTGCATAAGAGAGGGATGCAACCCAGTGGTTCAGTCCCAGGACAAAACAACTAAACCACTAAAGGCATGTGAGTCATAGCCACTTCACTATATAGCTGCTAGTAGCTCTTAGATTTTGCCATGTCTGTGGAAGATATGAATGGCAGCTCCTCAGGCTTCAAATTTTCCATAGTTTCTAAGACAAAATGCTGCTCCATCCAGGGCAAGTACATAGCACATCTCACCCATAATTGTCAGCATGTTCTCTAAAGATGGGTGAGAATTGTTATGGGGAAACTGAGGCACATAAAAAATAAGAGCCTAAGCTGACAACCATCATCACTCTTTACTTCAGTGGAGCAACATGAGTTTTCACTAGTTCATCCACTGCCTTTAACAGAACCATGACCATTTACAACCCCTGAGTGTTTGACCTGGTGAGTCATTGCAGGAGAATCAAGTGTCATGCCTTATCTTCTGGGATGCTCCTTTCTGTAGTAAAACCATAAAAGTGTTGGCAACAAATACTACCATGACATTCAACAGGGTGATTGATATATTACCTCCTTATCACTAAATTATTTAATGAAAGTTGAAATTTTTGCACAAAGTTGTTATCATGAAAAAAAGCCATAGGATGGCATTTAGGTTCAAGGCATCTTGAACCTAAATGTTTGTTGCTTGACATCTCCAGCTTCTAACATAATTTAGTGGGATTGTTCTTTATTGCATTAAAATGAGTGCTAATAGTGCATCGTACAGTTGCCTGTGTCACATTTGCTTGTGGTAATTTATCTTAAAAAAAAAAAATACATTCCATATATAACAGAATACAGTTATTGAGAACTAAGAAAATTATAACCCAAGTGCTGATTACAAGTACACCAAATCACTGAAACAAGCCAGACTTACACAAGCCACGTGACTGCAGATTCTGGGCTTCAGGGTGTGCTTGCTGTCCCAGAAAAAAAAGCTTAGTAAGGCAGTGACAGACAGTAGTTCAAAATTCTGCCTTTGCCACCACTCACCACAGTGAGTCTGTAAGAGATTATGAGATTCTTTCTGCATGTTTCTGCTTTTGATGCACTGCTCAGATTTATAGTCACCATCACTTCAAAACCTGAAGCAACCCCTTACTTCAGAATCACCGTGGCAACTCCCAGGCTGAGCTAATACTCTGGATAGTTAAGCCTTCTGATGCCTTAAGAAATGCCTCTACTCAAAGTCTGAGGAAAGAGGGAACCTAGATTTAATGCTGCAGAGTAGTGTTCTAGAAAGTTGTATTCAGGCTACCATTTGTTAGAAAAACACACAGGACTTTAGCTTGCATGTAGAAGCAGAATTTCAGCTCATGTTTATGCTAGCCTGTATCAAGTTAAGATTTTGTTTTATTTTCCAGTGTGTCTGCAATTGCCTGCTGTCTCTCCATCCTCCAAGTCCCCTCTCCAGCCCACCCACTGAGAACCTAAATAAATTAATGTCTCTTTCAGCACCACCTTGTTTCAAAAGAGGACAGATTTGTATATTTCTGAGCCCAGGTGTCATTAAACAAGTAGTAGATTTCACAGAAAGGTAGAAAACTGGATAGAAAGTATTGCCACCAATATGGTCCCCATTTGACTTCACTTGTGCAAATGACTCAGTTCCTTGGTGTTCCCCTGAACTTTGGAGAGAATATTTCCTAGAGTCCCTGTCTTCTTGGATATAAATATACTGGAGTGGAAGGCTTGTGAAGGATGAGAAATTACCAACCTGAATAATTCAGACTCTGAACGACAGATGTTTCTCATACACCAATCACTTACAAAATACACTTTACAGAAATATTCAGGTTTAAATTATACAGGGTTGCACATTTCACCTGTCTTTGTGGAAAGTGCACTTGTAGTATATTTCACAGAAATTAAACCTAAAGGAAGCATATACTTTTTATGAAAGAAAACTCCTTCTATTCACCCCAAGGCCTAGGTGTCCACAAGGATAAAAGGACAAATACATCTGTAATGTCAATCTTTTTTTGTGGCAGATTCAAAATATTTTATTTAAATTTCCTTTGAGCTTAAAAAATGTGATAATATCAGTGGATTTGTATTTGCTTCTTCTCCCCTCCTGCTTCTCATTCAGAGGACAGTAAATTTCTGGAAATAGACAAATCAAATTCTGCATATGCAGCTCAGCATGAACACCTTGCCCTTATTCAGAGACTGTCTCGCTCAGAGAATGTGCTCTATGGAGCAAACCTGGAAAACCTTTCTGCTGGGATGATGAGCAAATCTTGTGATAACCTCAGTGTGGAAACCAACAATAGGACTAGAGACAAAAGCAATCTTGGCAGGTAGGTTTGCTTTTTCTCTCTGAACATGTGTAAGAAGACTCAGACATAAACTTTTATTTTTTTTTAAGTCCTTATTGTGGTCACACCAAAAGGTCTGGGGCTCCATGGTGCCAGTAGTAGTGCAAATGCAGGCAGCAAGTTAATTGGCTAACAGAGAAGAACTTGATAAAGAGTGACATTTAAATTTGTAGCAGACTCAAGAAAAAACCACTAATTGGGTTGTGGGGTATTAAAAAAATGAGGGAGAAAAATGTAATATATTTAATGTCTGCATATCTTCACTGGAAATTACAGTATGTGAACTAAAAAACCATCAGAAGCCAGTTTTGATCAGGAATGCAGAGATCATTACTTAGTTGGCCTCCATGTCTAAATGTGCAAATCATAGGGAACAGCACAAGAGCTTCTCCTTCTTTGTTTCGGTGCATTCACCTGTGTAGGTGGTTACTGTAGCTGCACAGCCTCAAGGCCTTTGATGAATTCTAGAGCCTTTTAGAATACTAAGGGCTGGAATAGAGTCAAGGACAACATGAACTACCAGAAAAACTTTCAGATATGTTTTTTTCTAAATGGACAGCAGGGTTAAATGAATCATGGTGAAGCTATGCAGTGTTTCTTGATACTTGTAGTCAGCTCAGAGCAAAACACAGGAGGCATCAGTCATGACATGAATGGTCTAGTGACAGCTGTTATTTGAAAGGAAATGTTGGCAAGGATAAACTATCTCTCCCCTAAAATTAAATATGTCCCAGAAATCAGAATTTGAAAGGCTCATTGAAAGGCTATAAAACTGTGCGTTCCCAACTTGGCTCTGACAGACTAATGACAATGAAGACAATGACAATGACTAAATACCATTGCTGATTTTTTATTGTGTCCCTTTCCTGCCATGCAGATCTGTATCAGGGCTATCCCAGTCAGAAATGCACATCAATTTGAATGGAAAGCAAAGGAGTTATGACTTCCTCTCAATCCATTCAACTCAGAACACAATCAGTGGTGAGTATAATAATCATAAAGAGAGATAGCGTTCTTCCATGTTTATTGTTTCAATAGAAGGAGATCAATATATACTTTACTTATAAATTAAAGACTATCCCTTTTTATAGTCCTGGAAATTAATCCAGAGTTTAGCAAGACAAGCTGTTTTCTTCCCCTCAACTCCTACTTTGCATCAGGTTCAGTGGTAAGGGACTTTGTGATAAAATGGATCTATATGCTATATACATATATATTCTGTAATGCTCTAATGCTCTATAGTGCCTAATGCTCTACAGAGATGGAGTTCAGTTCACTCAGAGACTCTGGCATGGAGCAATATCCCTGTGCACAAAGGTCATTGTTTGGTTTGAAACTGAGATCTACAACTCAATAATTAATGAATGAGTCAGCATAGGCTCCAGGTCTTTCCTCTGCTCTTGCACTTGCATGACACTTCCTGAAATAAGGACTGGATATCTAGTTTCCTATCATAAGCCAGACTGCATGCACATGGGGAGCCAATCTATGGAATATGAAGCTATGATTATCTGGTTAGTTTATTTAAAAATTAGAACAGTACTTTAAACACACTATGACAATTGCTCAATGTTAAATAGTCATCACTGAAATCAGTGTTGATTGGATTGCACCTTCAGAGCCAAAAGGGCCCACAGGGCCTAAGGCTAGAGCCCACAGAAGATTTTGTGTCCAAATCACCCTCAGGTTCAGTGGACACTACATACCTGACTCTTTAAATATTCTAATCTTAATAAAAACATTGCAGAAAAATATATATTCTCCCAGAAAGGAACATTGTAGGAAGAGCTTGCACAGCCCTTTACAGAGTTTTTTTGAAAGAATAAAAACTTCTGAACACTTGTTTGAGCTTCCTTCCAGAATTATATTGATTCAAAAGTAAGAGTAATATTGAAATCAAAGATAAAATATATATTCATTTTTGAAGCTCCAGTTTTCATAATACATGAATATACTGTCTATAAATGCATCCATCTACATTTATTCTAGCTGTTTTGTTTCTGCAGCACCTGGATCACCAGCCATGCAAAAGGAAGTTTTGCTAAGTGGTCTAGAAAGAGAAATCATTTGTGTCAGCCTAAAACGTGACCCTAAGAATGGATTTGGTAAGTAATGAACATAAATATTATGTTTGTTACTGGGACCATCAGATCCTTGTGTTAACACTGATGCTAGCTGATTCAGGCTGGGCAGGACTGTAAACTCCTTTAGTTCATTTAGAGTAAGAGTACCAATCTTAGTGAAAGACTCAGAATTTCCAGGACTGAAAAGAACTAAGCACATAAATCAAGAGCATTATATTTTCAGAGGATTAACTAAGGTCACAGAGACCAAAGGTACCAAGTGCTAAGAGTAGAATGAAAGAAACATGGTTTTAGTTTTGTATGTGAAGTACACATGTACAGATTTTATTTCTCTTAGACCTTACAGGTGGTGCCTGTGGGGGCACAAAATGTTTATACCAGCTTAACATAAATGTTTCTCAACTTTTGGTTTGTTACTTGGATAATATTTTTGTTATTTAATACCTTAATCACGCTGTATCTGGTTCTAGTGGATAAGTTCAGACCATCAGGTTTCACAAATGACCATTAATATAATTAAAAATCAAATTTATAAATTTTGCAGGTCTGTGTGTAATATCCTAATCCCAAACCCAACTGTTATAGCAATGAGAAGAATATATTTCAATAGCCAGAGTTAAGATAGTGAAACTGAACTACCAAACAGTAGATTTAATTTTCACAGATCTCTTACATTATAGGTTTACATGGCCCACCTCAGGTTTCCTGGTTGCATGATGTAGAATGATGTTCAAATTTATCTAATGAGCTTTTATACCATTTCCCTCCTGCAGGTGTTAAATGCTGCAGGTCTATCTAGTTCATTAGTCATGCAAGTAAGTAGTTAGGTTAACAAGCCAGAAAAAAATTGTTATTGTTATTGGGAAATTATATCTAAATAGTGACCAGAGACACCAGCACACTTTAATTATGATCTAAGTTTAAAGCTCTCCCAAGTCAAGACCTTGATCCCCTGTAAATCAAAGCTCCCCATCCCTAAGATCATGTACGAAACTTCTGCCATTGGAGTAAGAGCCTTTTGTGCTCCTAAGATTAATCTTTTTTAATACTGCCACTGTTTGCATTCTCATGCTATCTCATTTTTGCAGGTTTTGTAATTATTGGAGGAGAAAATGTAGGAAAATTAGACCTTGGTATCTTTATCGCTTCAATTATCCCTGGGGGACCTGCAGACAGAGCTGGAAATATCAAACCAGGTCATTTTCCATAGTTTTTAATTAGAATTAAAATACTTGCATAGTTAACTATGTTATATAAAGTTAGCTACTCTGGATGTATTTCCTTATTTAGATGTGCTTTCTCTTGCCTTTATCTTTTTTTTTTTTAAGGAGGACGACTCATCTCTGTGAATAATATCAGTCTTGAGGGTGTTTCATTTAATACTGCAGTTAAAATCATACAGAATTCTCCTGATGAAGTGCAGCTCATCATCTCTCAACCCAAAGGTATAAAGGCAAATGCCTCTGCTGGCTCTGGGATGCTAACAGTTAACTCAGGACACTCATATTAGGCACTGGGATGTAGTACTACCTTCCTGCTACTGAATGCCAGTTAGAACAACCATACACTAAAATAGTCGACTTCTAGGAGGTATCATGTGATGTCTCTGCTAAATCAGTGTGAAAAAATCTATTATGGGCTGCCTTGCTGAACACTAAAGGACTTTTGGCATTTCTTTCTCTGACAGAGAATCATAGTTGTCTGCAGTGAGGAAGCAAACACATTCCTGAACACTTACAATAGCAGTGCTCCATTTTACATTAACAACTCATTTTATAGATCTGATTTAACGATCAGTTGAAATAGAAAGTTACTTTCTCCTCTTGTGCTGGTTTATAACAGTATTTTTCTATAAGTTTACTTGCTATTTGTATTCAACAATGTCTTATTTTGGCATGGCTTTACAGACGTGTATGAAGAAGGATTAAATGAAGACAAGAATCTATCAAGAGGAAACAGCACTAGTGGATCTGAGATCTCCTGTGTAGACAGTGGGAGAAAAAAGATTCAGGATTGTCATACAGCTCTCCTCAAAGAACAGGACACAAATATAGATGAACTTGAGAAGACTCTCTCTTGGAATTTAGCATCAAAATCGGGCCCTAGGATTCCAGTTCCTTCAGCTGATAGCCTGGATGTAGAGGTAACTGAGATTTTGATGCTGCTCAGTAATGTTACACACAGCACACAACATATAACAACATACCAGATACATGTAAAAGGCAAGGCAACTGTGAAGAAAAAGAGATAGAAAACCTTTAAATAAATTACATTGAAAATGTCAAAATGATAGACATGTCAGGAATATGTAAATAAATGGGGAAACTGTTCTGAAAAATGTTTTCAAATTCTCCTTCCTTTTCCAATGGAGGGACAAAATTTTGAATGTTTTCTTGCAATCTTTAAGTTTTCAAACCAGTCACAGAACATGCCATGTCTAATTTCCTACTTTTAGACATCTTCCCTATGCATACTTCGGATATGTGCATTAAGACAGATTGCATTTTGAGTAGCATTAGCATAAGCTTCCAATAACTCAGGGATATAAATGGTACCAACTCCAGGTTTACAGTGACAGCAGGATCAAACCTGCTCTCTTCCTTTTTTTTTTTTTTAAATTCCTTCTCCCCAGCACTCCTCACCCCCCCTCCCCCAACTGTTTGTTTTTAAACCAAGATGCTGTAATCTCATTAAAGTTTTTATTTTTGAGACAGGCAGCTGATTCTTCCCACTTAGCATCTTCATCAGAAACCAACTCAAAGGAAATCTACACAGTGGAACTTGTTAAAGAAGATGGGACTTTTGGAATCAGCGTGACTGCAAGTGTTACTGTTAATCTTTAGTTGTCTGTCAAATTGTTACCTGACTGAGAGCAAAGACATAAGATAGGCTGATAACAGAAATTGTGATCATGGCACATTTTAAACCTAAGTGTCCAACTGATTGACATAGAACCCATGAAGTACTGTCTCTGCTCATTCCCTGGTTCTTACCCACACCATCTGTGAGAGAAGTGTCCTGGCATAAAGCACTTGGCAGTACAAGCCCCTTATGTCCTTACTCAATTTGGGAACAAGATCTACACCTGAAAGCAGAGTTTGGTCAGAGAGGACAAGAGAAGGCAACAATAAAAAATGTCTGCCACATTTGGATAACAAGTCCTTGTCCTAGCTATTTAAGTTTAATTTATTCCTTCAGACTGAGATGTCTTTTACAGTCTTTGCCGAAATGAAATGGGAAGCAACAGCTACTTCATTGCCTGCAGAAGAAATTAAAGGCCATTTTTTTCATCTGAATTTGGCTAGGGGATGTAGATGGACAGAACATGATTGTTAGGTTAATCTGGAATTTCTCTCAGTGCCCAAGTTCAGGTCCATGCTTGATATGTTGTCTGAAAGATTAATAATTGAAGAATGGATATTGCACAGCTTAGAAGCTGGGCTAGCAGATAACTGAAAGATGCAAGACCATTTTATGTGAGCATAAGAAAGAATTTATGAATGTTTAGTAAATATTTTTATATAGTCACATAGAAACACATTGCATTTTCCTGAGAAAATAAAATAAGATTTGTGCCTATGGAAGTATATTACAACTAAATTGGGTTTTGGAGTAATATCCTCTTTCCCTTTTTTCCAATATTTAAAGAAGAAAATAATTCCTGAAGCAGTTACTTTGCAATGCATGTGTAAATTGCTTTGATTTTTACCACAGGAAGACTATATGAAGACTCTAACCTGTGGGCATGTTTTGCAGGGTGGAATTAACACCAGTGTGCGTCATGGTGGGATATATGTGAAGTCAATTATTCCCAGGGGACCAGCAGATAAGGACGGACAAATAAAGATAGGTAACATGTCTGGCAATAAAACCCTGGGCTGCAGAACTCACTGTTAGTGTGGACGATGAAACACATTTGGGATTGGATGTGTTACAACTGTGAAATGTAATATATTGTCCATCATTCCTTAGCCTGTCCTTGTACTACACGTAGGGATCCCACTGAAAAAACAGAAGCCTCACTCCAACATTGTAGTTACCCTCTGTAGCTGCCATCAGGCTAGTGATTCTGACATCATTGTTACTGTGAAAACCAGATGCTATCACTGCATTTACTTACAGAATACTCTGGAATGTTTTAGCTGCTAGTTATAGAATGCTGTACAGCAAGCAGTATTGCTTTCCTATGAATTAATATTAATTTGACACATGCAAGCATTAGGATCTGTTGTAACATGGGCAGCCTCAAAGTTTACACCCGCTGAACCTGAACATCAAAGCAACTTGATGTTCTTTGTTGTTCTTTGGTTTTCTTACCTCAGGTGATCGTCTGCTGGAAGTAGATGGCATCAGCCTCTGTGGCATCACCCACAAACAAGCTGTGGAACACCTTAAGAAATCTGGCCAGGTTTGTACAGCAGCAGAAATCAATAAGATACCCAGTAGACTAAACTGGATTTAGTATGAAGCACAAGTACCCAAGTTTGGCTGAAAGAACCACCCCCACTCTGCTCCTACCCCATTCCTCTAAACAGAAAAGTAAAAAGACTTAGGTCTCACTGTGTCCTGTGTAATTGGAACCTGTTAATCACTGTTTTAGATTGCCAAACTGGTTCTAGAAAGGGGAAACTACCAACTGGCAGAGTCATGTTTGACTGCTAAAGACAGAAAGGAGGACCAATGTGCAGTTGTTTCTGTGGCAACATCCCTCACAGATGGTACCAAGGACTGCTGCTTTTTGACAGATGGTAAGTGATAAGAAGAAGCTCAGGGTGACTTCCTACAATGTGCAGGAAAGGAATGAATGAAAATAATTCTATGAAATTTCTGTGGGTTGGAAGGGAAACTGTATACTGAATAAAATGATAACGTTCAATATTAATATTATCAAAAATCAATTCTGAACAAAATATTTCTGATGTTTGTAGAGTCACAGTGGCTAGATATAGCTGAATTTATCCTAGGCATAAATACTGTGTCTCTCAGCCTTGGTGAGACTGGAATGGCAAGGGGACACCCCTGTCTGTACTCCACTGCACTGCTGGGTAGGAAGCAGCTGTGTGGATGTGGCCAGGCTGTTACCCAGGGAGAGCCTTATCAGCACAACTGCTGATGCTGTGACAGTGATGAAGCTGGAGTAAACTGGAGACTGCCATCACTTAATTTCTTAAAAGCTGAAGATTTAGAGGTCACTTACACAGAATTTAGCCAAAAAATAAATGTTGTATCTTTTAATGAAGGCTGTCTCATAAACACTAAGTCTGAACCATGCTTTTCCATGGGGCAGTTACTCCTCTATACTGGAATTCAGCTACAAGCATGGTGTTTGGGGAAGGCCTGATCTCTCATTCTTGATTCTTGGAAAGAGCAGTAGCTCCATTTCTAGTTTATGCTGGTTAGTGCCAGACCTAAACTAACACTGGGCAGTTACATAATAGTCAAAATCTATGCAACACTTACAGAAGAATGTAAGAAAAAGATAGCATGTGAATCTCTTTATGTCAATACAAAAAGATTTTCCTTTGCTGGTTTGTACCAGATTATGAACACATGGTGGAATAGATTCCTGTTCTCCCTATTCTGATTGTGAGATTTCAAAGACCTTCAAAGATAAAGGAACACCTAAACCTTCTTTTGACTATAGTATCAGTAGATCTATCTCTGCAGCACACAGGGAAAAAATCTTCTGAGTGTATAGTTTATACTGTCTCCTCAGGGGTTACCACTCATGATTCCCAGTTTTCTTCCAATCTCTGATTTGAGCAGATAACACATTTGAAGTGAAATTAACCAAGAACTCTGGAGGCCTTGGATTTAGTGTTCTGCAGATGGAAGGAGATGCTTGCGAACACCTTGGAGGAGCTATTGTCAGGATCAAAAGACTGTTTCCAGGGCAGCCAGCTGAGGAGAATGGAGAAATTGAAGTTGGAGATGTCATTTTAAATGTGAATGGGAAACCTCTCAAAGGGCTCCTGTATCAGGTAGCAGGAAGTATTATTACTGGGGCTCCATCTGGGTAACAGGTTAATAAAGACAATGCATTGAAACTTAATTATTACCAGAGGGAGGCAGAATCTGCATACAGTTAATCTGATTTCTATGTAGGATTCTTCTCTAGAACTCCTATGTAGAATTTCCTTTCTAAATGAATTCTGACAGCGAATTTCTTCTGCTATTTAATTTATAAGTTTCTACCACTAATGTATTAATTCTATTGTTAGATGCACACCAGTTGTTAATTAGTTGGAATCTTTGTTGCTGTTATGCATGATTGGAACAATTTTCCCCCTGTGGTCATTTGTGCTTTGTAATGTCATGCTAAATATAATGCCCCAGATTCAAATTTCTATCAGGAGTGGTAGGTCCTGTGTAAATTTTTAGCCTGGAATAAGAAATTCTGTATTCAATGAAGAAATTAAATGGTAATGCCTCACATGTGGATTTAATTTTTTCATTGGAATATGTCAGTTTTGGAAGCTATGCTGAAATAATTAAAAAAAGATGTGTTACTGCCACATGTGGTTTGAATGAATTTGAATGAAAATTCTGTTTTCTTCAAGAAAAGAAAATTAATTAACCTAAACCTATGTATCTGATGGTGAAGCAGAAGTTTGTAAACAGAACTGACTTGACTTTAGGTATAAGTTCACATATAAACTATGGCCCATTTGTATGACAATCCTTCAGTGGTGAATATTGGCCCTCAGACACTGCTGAGAGGCACAAATACCAGAAATGTAGCATTCACAATAAAAACTTTCTCTATCTCACTTGGTAAAATGATATGTATAATATACTGTATTCCATCAGAAATATAACATTCCTTCTTTCTGTTTAGGATGTCCTGCATTTGCTAAGAGGAGCTCCTCGAGAAGTTACACTGCTACTTTGCAGACCACCAAAAGGTGTTCTTCCAGAAATAGAGCAGATTGCTTTGGTAAGGCAAAGCTTCTGACAGAAACTTCCTTCTGTAAGCCTGGAAAGACACTACTACATTTTCTATCCAGTCTTGAACAAGGCAACTTTCCCTTTTCTCCAAGGCCCTCTCCTCTACTCCATTTCTTTCCCTTCCTGATTTCAACTCAACCTGCAGAGTTCAACTGATATTTTCTTAGCAACCAAAATAATACAAATCTGGCAGACCTGAAACATATTTATCCCAGTCCAAAAACTTTTTTGAGTTGCTGTACTATCATTAGTGTGAAACAGCACATATCCAAGCAGGTCTTCTAGTCGTGCTTCTAAAAATGCTGTGCCAGATCCTCAGCTAGAAACTGCAGATATTCTCAAATGCAGCTATATTAACTCCCCAAAGTCAGAAGAAAATAAATATTTTTTCCTATCAAGACTATCTCTTAATGAAGTTAAATAAATGAAATAATGGTTTCAACTGGTTATTCAGGTTCTTATTGATACTTAGCAGAATCTGCAGGGGGGAAAATAAAATGCAAACAAACAAAAGATACTCCCAAGCCGTAGGCACTGCAGTGACTAAAACATTGCTATTAGATGTGCTAGCATTATTACTGCTGCTTCTTGAACACACTCCTGTACACATAACAAGTACTCTTAGAAGGAATATGCATTTGCACTACTCTTGCTCCATTCAGTACAGCCCTCTCATGGTTCCCCTCCCACTAGGATTTATAGCCACCCACAGGGAGACAGAAATGACAGTCAGAACCATCTCCAGATAACAAACTGATTCCTGCTGCTCTGCTGCAGTGTGCCCTTGGCTGATTTCTGTGGTCAGACATGACAGGAGTCAAGTCTGGGAGCTCCTTCCGTGGAATGAAGAGAACATAGACACAACATTGAGGCATGATATGAACAGAAATATTAAAAAAGAACCTCTAGCAAATAATTCATCGGGAAAAGTGATCTGGTGTAGTGGTTTTGATTGTAATTCTTGTAGACATGAAAAATAAGCATTAAGACAAGAGTTATTTGGTGAGAGAGTACCTCCTATTTTTTCTCCTTCCTTCCAGCTACCATTTTGTATTTTCCCATTCAGAAGCTTGTTAATATTGCCTTTTCAAAATATTTTGCTTTTGAAAGAAAAAAGATGGGAGATTAAAAAGGAGTTACACTAACCTTTCTGTTTCTTTGATAGACTCCAGCACCATCTCCAATTAAGGACTTTGTGGCAGAAATGCCAGGCAACAGAGAGGCAGGAAACACTATGGATCAATCCACCAGTGACGAAGGTAGCACCTCTCCAGACCTCGAAGATTGCCTCGATTCTCCAGTGGGAGAAGATTTCAGTGAGCCTCCTGAGGATGACAGCTCAGCTTACGATGAGCAGGAAGCTGAGTTTCAAGAGAAACCCATACAGAAACTCCCAACTTCCAGAGAGAGTTTCTATAAGCATCTTTGGAAGATTCATCAAGAAGCTTCCAGTTCTGAAGTCTTCCATTCTCTAGAGGAGGAAGTGAAGCAGAACTGCTACTCACCATGTGAATTTGGACAGGTCAAAAGGTAGGGAATACCAAAATCTCTTCTGAAGCCTTTCCTTTGACTCTTAGAACTTTGAAAGTTAATTACTTAGGTTTAAGTACAGGGCTCTCTGCTTCTAATCACTCCTGATCACTGAAGATTTTGTTTTATCATCTTATTCTGGCTCACTTAATCTGCTTTCCCAATTCACTCTCATCTTATTAGAATTTTGCATAAGTCTGCATTACAAGATACTTGTAAGACTTTTGCACCACTGTAATCATTTATGCTGTTCATCTGAAGGTGGTTGCCATTTGAAATGAGTGAAAAGACTCTTGTTCACCTAAATAGGAAACAAATACTTTTTTATTGATTATATGTTTTTACTTTCATTTTTTTTTCACAGTTGACCTAAATATGCACCAAATTTTTTTCTTATTGTGTGATCTCTTAATTTCAAATTTTTTCATAGGGAATAAAAACACCTCAGAAGACAAACTGTGATCAACGAGAAAAAAAAAATAAATTCTGTTTTCTGGTCTTAAGAAGCCAATAGAACCTCTGAGCCAGAGGAATTATACAATAAAATATAGTGCAAATGGACTCAGTCTCCTTTTACACTCCTTTGGATATATCAGACAGTCGCACAGAAGACAATCCATTCCATTTTCTTTCCCAGTGCAAAAAAGTGTAAATTATCAGAACACACAGGATTGATGCAAAGACAAATTGAAAGTATTCTAGAGGCCTTTAACTTACAGCTATAGTAATTTTATTGAGAAACTAATTTTTATTTCTCCAGACAGTCACTTGAAATAATTTTGCTACTTTTGGCACTCATGAGGCACAGCCCCAAACAGTCCAGTGTCTGGTGAGTGACAACACCACCTGACACTGCAAGTCAAGTGGGATCATAATGGCATTTCATACTTTTAGCTTCTCTTTGTTGAGTGCAGAACTTCACTTGATTCATGAATGAAGCTCCACTTAATTATCTGCTTCTCTAATTCTGAGAACAAAACCAGCAGAAATACATCTGCAGCAAACATATTTGCCAAGAGATAATACAGATTCAACAAAACTAAGTTTATTGTGGGCAAATACCAATTTCAAGAAAAGTTTTGGATTCTTTCCAAGAAGGAAGTTCTGAAATATTTTTGTTTGATACATTTTCAGTATCATTTAGTATTAGTAAATGCTTTTGCATTTTTAAAAAGCAGCCATAGAAATTTAGGATGCCATACATTTTAAATAATATTTTAAACACAATCTCAATGTAAATCTTTCCAGCTAAAACCACACAAAATCCCCAGAAGGAAATAGGCATTAATAAAAGACTTCCTTTTGATTAATGAAGAAATTTCTCCAGATTGCTCAAAACATTTCATGCAAATGTATAAAATTTCTGGTATGAATTTTACAGAGATCTTCTGTGATCCCATACAGGATGGGCAATTTGTTTTCATTTTAGTTGTCTATGTTTGCTTGGGAGATGATGGACAGTTCATTTCTATCAAAGAGCAAAAGATCCTAGCTGACTGAGATATCAATGCCATTTCAGGTGTTTTTAAGATGCATGAGGTTAGCAATATTTCAATAAGGATTGATATGAAGAAAACATACTTTAAAAAAAAATGTGTTTCCAGCATTTTTATGAGCTTTAATGGTAAATTTTTGGGAGACAATGCCACAGTTGTCTACTAGGGTTCATGAAGGCCAACAGTCAAAACTATTAAACACAGTATGTATGATTACTGTTTGGGCTTGAACATCAAAAGTGCTGAATACTTTGTCTGCAATATAGTGGAATACAAACAATAATAATTTAAATTCAATTTAATAAGTCCATTGACATTTTTTGGAGAACTCACATGCTTCAAGGCAAGCGTAAGAATAAAGGCAAGCTTACAAGGAGGAGTAAGGACGTCTACTTTTCATGAAGAAACAGGAACCACTTCATATTTTGTGGTTTTGATTTGTACCCAGTCACCAAGGAAAGACCTGTAGAAACCAGAAACGTGGCTGGCATTCTTTTTTCAGAAAAATGCTAATATAAAAATAGTAGTGGTATTTTAATGTCCATACTGCTTACCAGAAAAGTTAATTCATTTCTTTATGGAAGATGAAATGATTAATGGTCCAGACTTTGTCCAATTACTCTTTTTGAGAAGTAACCCAAGTACTAATTAATGCCTTTAAAAAATTAAAAGAGTGCAAGATTTTTCAAAGGTAAATAATGAAAGCTTTTCAATCTTTCAAGTAGCTTAGCAAAATATTGATTACTTATTTGTTTTTATACTACCATTGGAGGATTCAAACAGCAATTCAATACTGTAACTAGTAATTCAGTTCAAATGAAAATAAGGTAATACATAAGCAGTAGACTTTTCAGTGGCCATCTAATAAAGCATATGGAGGAAAACCCCAGCACTGCAATCTTTTTATTTTCCAGCCACGTATTTAATAAGAGTCATGATGACCAATCGAACACAAAATGTATGCCTGAAACTCTCTCTCTAACCCCTATTGATGAAGAGTATCTCACTGTCAGCTCAATGCCTGTGACCCCACTTCCACGAGGAGGAAGCTCTGAGACAGTCTCTGCAACCACTGCGACCCCACAGCCACGTGTTTGTGGTCCCTCATCATCATCATCCCTGCCTGACAGAGAGACACATGACAGTGACAATGAATGGGAAGACTTGGAGGAACCAGAGGAAGAGAAGGAAGAAAATGAAGATTGCACTCAGGTATGTGATGGGCACCAAATTTCCAACAAGTAGAATACAAGGGAAAAGAGACAATTTTAAGAATGTTAAAGTCTTAAACATTAATTTTAACTGATTTTCTATGCTATTTACACATTTTTCACATGGCTTTTTTTTTTTTTTTTTTTTTTTTTTTTTTAAATTTTCCTGAAAACCAACAATCTTTAAATAAGCCAGACCTTCCACTATGCCTGGCTCTCCAGAATTCTTAACCATTTGCCTTAAGGCTATTTCTTTTTTTCTTGACATCTTACTATTTCTCCAGCTTTCCAAAATTCTACATTATTATCCTCAGTGTACAAAGGCCTAAAAGCTCTCTAGTAGCTTCTAAAATTAATTGAAGTCAGCTACTTGAGTTTTTTCTGCCATGTTTCAAGGCCATGCAGAAAATCACTTTGTTACAGTGATATTACTGTAATGTCCTGATAAGAAAGTATGATCCTTGTGCTAATTACTATTCAAAATATAAGGTTCAGTCCTGCCAAATGCTGAGCATCTTGCATTCCGACAACACTAATGAGCTCTGAGTCCCTACTAATTGGAGAACACTGCAGACAAAATTTAGCTGCAGGCATTTCCTTCAGTGGGACAGCATAGCAGTTACAGCAGTAATCTCTGCACCCTGCTATCGCAATGCTTGTCAGCCCAGAGGACTCCAGGCCTTTCTTTAGACATTCCAAATGCCTAATCCCAGGTCCTGGTGGCATTCTCTGCTTTCTTAGGCCCTATAAATCAATCAACATGAACCTCCACAATTCTGGGATATGGCAGAACACCTTTCGCACACTCTTGTACCATCTGAGGATCTGATTCCTACCTACATATAAAAATATGGAAGATGTTACTGAAGCAACTGTGCTTGTTTTAATAGGAAATGGAGATCTTTGTGACTTTGACAAAGTCAGAGAACAACGGTTATGGATTCTCTGTAGTTCTTAACAAAATGGACACCTGCCTGTACGTTGATGAAATCTTGAATGATCCTGCCCTTTCTGATGGAAGATTGAGAAGGGGAGACAGAATCATTATGGTACAGTATTTGTTTGAGTTCATGCAGAGAAGAAAATATTTGCATATCAATTTCATTTAGCTTTGGCATTCTTCATTTGGTATCACCCATTCATCACGTATTTAGGTATGTAAATAAATAATCTAATAAATCTAATTCTGCTGACCTCAGTTTGATAAATTTCAGACTGAATAGATTGTATGGCCAGGCAAATAACATGAATCTAGGAGCAATTCAAGACAAATGAGACATTAAATGCCTTCCCAATTAAATGACATAAACTGAATTAATGTAATAAGGTGATAGGTGACACACAAAGGATGTGGGAATTATGCCCTTTGTAATGTAAGAATAAAACCATTTTTTCAGCCTGGTTCATGTTCAAGTTTTTGCATAAGATCCTCTTGGTTTTTTGCAACAAGATCTTGAGATTCAATGTGAATAAAAGCTACTTTTATTAAAGCTCTGCATTCAGAAACATGAAAGTTAAAAAAAATATTACTGCATTCTTAACTGTTTAATTTACTGACATTAAATACCGCAGCAAAGCAACAACAAGGAAGTAAAAACTAATTTCAGTTTGTATGCAAAGTTCAGAGTAGAGGGAGAAGTAAATGATGGTCAATGAGATCTATGACATGATTTTACTGGTTTATCATTTAGGTGAATGGAACTGATGTCACATCTTTACCATGCAATGAAGTCCTGACTTTACTGCAAAGTTCTTCTCCAGATCTGCACCTTGTGGTTGGTCGTGCTGACAGTGACCCACGTCCCCCAGTTAGGCCAGATGAGATTCCTGAAATTACTCTCACAAAAGGTGCTGATGGACAGCTAGGTGTGTAGTAAATGCTGTATTTTCTATTTTGGACTGAATGATACCATAAGATAATCATAAGCAAGTGTGGTCTTGAATCAGTATGATCCAAACTGACTTTTGGACTGACTTAAACCACCTTTATGCTCTTTATGATCACCCATGACCAAGGAATGAGAGCTTTATTTCAGGCAACACCTATGAGGGAAGAAAAATACCTCTTATTAGACGAATGAAGATAGGTGGAAAAATGATCTTTGCATTACGTCCCTATTAACTGAAGTTTCTGGCAGATTTCTAGTCTCATAGTTTTATGTTACTGATAAACATAAGTTTTGGATAGCTGGAAAATAATGTCTACTACCTGTAGAGACACATAAAATCTATTTGGAGGGAAAGAAAAGAATTGAAGAAAAGGTAAAGTTTAAGAAGGATGAGCCACAGGTTGAGACTACAGTTTGTTATTCAAAAAGCCTCCACTTGAATCTTTGATTCACCACAGACACAAGGCTTTATCTACACTGAGCGATACAAACGATACAAGAAATCCCCACAATGTGAGTATCTTGATATTTCTGTAGCATGTTATGAGTTCTGCACACAGATAAAACTGTAGACTCAGGATGGCTATATTTGTTCTTGTACAACATCCTGTTTCCAGGTAGTAACTAGTTTGTTCAGAGATTCCTTGAATGTTGTTTGCACTGTGTAGGCACCTCCTCAGCTGTCGTAGGCCTCCACTGCCAACGGCACCCTGATGACTGCAAGGCATTTCAATGTGCTGCTAATGAGGGAGCTGCTGCTGTGCAGTGTCCTATTGCAATGACTACTGAACATCAGGTGAAATAAAGCACTACAGCAGCACTGAAACACAGGGATGGACACCACCATTTAAATTTTTCCATACTTTTTTGACATCTAATGGCATTTCACTTTTTCAGTCCAGCTTATACACCCCATCTTAGTGGAGCAAGACTGTTATTTATAATGTCAGTGATTTCTTCAGCCTTTCTTTCAATGACTCACATTTATTCCACTTTAAGTCACTGACAGTGAAATTCAAAACACTCTGCCACAAAAGATGCTTTCTCTGCATTATTCTAGGCTTGAAGCTGACAGGAGGAGCTGGAAGCAAGTTACAAGGTATTTATGTGCTAGAGATAGTGCCTGGCTCTCCTGCCAGTGTGGAAGGCAGTTTGCAGCCACGAGATCAGATTGTTTACATCTGTGGACTGTGCACTGAGGGCATTAGCCTGGATGATGCAGTGAGAGTGTGTGAAGCTGCCACCCAGAATGTTCAAATCAAAGCCACCAGGTAAATCTGAGCATACTTGATCCTAATGCTGAAGCAAGTTTCTAAATTTTATATCAACAAGTCAGACAACACAAAACAGAAAAATACTTTATCTCAAGGCTCTGAATGTTTCTATTTGATAAGTAACATTCATAAGATAGCTTAACTACTTGTAATTACAACTACTGCAGTGAGTAAAAGTAGACTCATACAACACAAATGAGAAGTCATCAAATTTCATCATCCAAAACTAAATGTGGAGCCTTTAACTGTGAGGCTCAGCACCATTTTCATGTCTTGTTCTCTAGGGAAAATCTTTATATTTCCATCACAAAGTGTCAACTTTCCCCTTACCATCTGAAATTCACAGCTACAAGCAAGAAGCTACTCATCACCAGAAATTTTGAGATAATTCCAACAGCCAAACATTTTAGAAAGGTACTAAAAATGCAGCATTTAACCTGCACCATTTCCAGAAAGTCTTTCCAGGCCTGAACAATAATTGGCTGTAAAGGATTTCACTCATCAGTTCATGGATGCACTTTATATTCATTGTGTTCTACAGTCTGATACCACACCAGCTCAGGTCCTGGACTGATGCAGAAATAGCTTCCAAAGATCTCAGAGGAATGGTAAAATATTAACCCAAAGCAGCTGAGTTACATAACCAGAGCACGTGACAGAATGGCAAACCAGCTGTCTTAACACAGTTCAAACTTTCATCACTGTTTTATTAATTTGTGCTTATCTCACAGAAGAAAGAACTGCCACCTCATTAAACATCTGGCTGTACAACAAGTTAGGCAGCACCTCCTGATTGTCAGAATTTACAAACTAAGGAGGTAAACAGACATAGGGTAAAGGAATTTACAAAAGAGCATTCCCACTTTATACAGGGGGTAACCAAAGCTGAATTCAGAATGGACCAGAAAGCAGTTCTGTCTTGGGCCAGGTGATTTAACATGCTTATTTTTTCCCCCAACACATTTAAATAAAATGTTTCACTACAGTCAAATATTTTCATATATTGATATCAATTCTATTTAGAAAAGCACCACTAACAAAATCATGAAAGGACAACTACTATTTAGACAACTGAATTTCTAAAATTAATTTTCATATGTGCTTTACAAAGCATGCAGCGCTTAATGGCTCACATATTTCACTTTTTCTGCCCCCAGAAATGGCAATCCAGTGGTTCCTATAGAACAGGAAAATAGTAAGTAAGGCTAATGTTTTTGGGTTTTAGTTCAAAACATGCTTCTGATTTTGAAAATAATCATAAGGTATTGATTCATTGCATTTAAGTTATTAACAAATTGTAACTTGGCATTCAGTATTTCTGTTATGGCCATTTTAAGGGTCTGAAAAAAATTAGCTGTCTAAAGAAGAAAATAAAATGTATAGTTCTCTGTAAAGAAAGTAATTTGTTACATATTCAGTTTCTATTTTTTTAATTTGTTATTGAATAGGAATTTATATGGTCATGTTTCAACATCTGTTTTGACTGAAACTACTCTCTAAGTAGTTTTCCAGCACTTCTTGAGCCATTACTTAATATGAGCCACTACTTCATCATCTAGACCACCTTTTAAAACTGCTATTAATAGACTATATAAAATCAGCAGGCAGCACTAATATCTGTAAGTTAATATAAAACCATTCCTATCAGGGGAGATATTGGATACTGTAAATGATACAAAACTTCAGTAATCATCTGCTCTACAAAGACTTGACCAGAATTGCTCTAGCAGTGAAAGGAGTCTCAGCAAGCACAGGCTGCACCTGCACCCTCAGGTGGAAGGAGAGGTATCACATTTAGGTCAGCACATACAAAGGCTGTTGATTATACCAGTAGTACTGTCCAATGCACACTTGGCTGCAGCACTAAATCAGGCCTAACCCCAGTTTCATTCACCTGACTGGATATCTCAATGTCTGTTTTGTTTTTAAATCATGCAAAGATAACCTTAAAAAGTAACCCTGGACCACAACTGTTCACATGCCTACACTCATCTGGACACTGGCATATGGTTACCTGAAAAGCTTATTCCAAATCAAGTTAGTTACGATTTCCTACTTTAACACACGTAGCCATGCGTTTGTTTCTATAAACTGAAGCAATTTTCTACAAGATATGTAGAAAGTTATGGGTGCTCTCAGTTAACACAAAAGAACTAAAGCACAGCAAATGTATATCCTGGTAGAACCTTGCTTACACAGCCTTGTGTGCACTTTGCAGATTCCAAGATTTCTCAAGATACCTTCAGATAGGTAACTGTACCTGATCCACCTCTGATAGAGTTATGAACTCTACACTGGCACAGTTATGTGCCTCTCCTATAAAACAAGATGTGTAAGGTCCTGCACATGAGTAAGAGCAATCCCAAACATAAACACAGGCTGGGCAGAGAACGGATTGATAACAGCTGTGAGAAGGACTTGAAGGTGCTGGTTGATGAGAAGCTGAACATGACTGAGCAATGTGCAATCACTGCCCAGCAAGCCTGTCCTGGGCTGTACCAAAAGCAGTGTGGCCATCAGGTTGAGGGAGGGAGATTCTGCCCCACTACTCTGTGAGACCTGACCTGGAGTGCTGCATGCAGCTCTGCAGCCCCCAGCAGAAGAACAGTTGGAGAGAGACTTTAGACAAAGGTGTGTAGCTGTAGGACATGGGGGAATGGCATCAAACTGAAAGAGGGAAGGTTTAGATTAGATAGTAGGGAGAAATTCTTTACTGTGAGGGTGATGCAACACTGGAACAGGCTGCCCAGAAGTTGTGGACACCTCATCCTTTAAAATATTCAGGTCCAGGCTAGATGGGGCTTTAAGCAACCTGGTCTAGTGAAAGGTGTCCCTGCCCATGGCAGAGGGTGGGAACCAGATGATCTTAGAGGTCCTTTCCAACCCAAACCATCTCTGATTTTATGATTCTTCCCTTTTACAGGCACTTGGAAAAACCTATAGTAATTTTTTATTTGGTGTTCCATTTGCTATCATCACTGATAGATTTAAAGATAAATCTGTAATAATTCATTATTAAGAAAGCAAGTAATGATTTTATAGGCTTAGTTAGAACACATACTAAAATTGCAATTGCAACAGGTAGCTTTTATTTGAACTACAGGATATTCACTATTTTCCATAATTCACACATTAAGAGTATTTTGTGGAAGACAGCTAAGATCACCAAAATGGTAAAGAAAAACCATTAAACTGAGGCAGGGGGGGCTGAGTAGAGGTGGGAGTGTTCCTTCATCTGCCTGATCACTGCCACATGTCTAGATTATCTGGTGTCTGTTGTTACAATTTTTAAAATAGCAATGGCTAAGATGCAGTATCTCTGCAATTCAGGACTGAAATGTTTATATCTCTGTGCAAATTCGCAAACTTAATTATGCAGTGGTCTCACACTACTTAATATAGTATCAATATTAGATATTGATGCTTTGTTTATAACCTAAGCATGGAGTTTACATTCCATGTGTACATGCAGTTTAGCAGGAGGCCTGTCAGAACAAACATACGTGTATGTTTTTAGGGCCACCAGCTGAAACAGAGAAAGCCAATATTTCTTTGTCAGATGAAAACCTGAACTCTCAGGAACAGCATCTGCTTCATCAACATGGTAAGGAACTTTTCATTTTTTAGTTAGGGTTAGTAAAATTGTGTGCCTTCTCTTTGAAAGAATATAAGTCTATAGGTGATAATGGCATTGCCTAGGAAAGATTATATAAAAAACCTGTCTCCCTCAGAGTTTCAGAGAACATTTATACATTACTGTTGTCCATCTGGTGTCTCTGTAAGCACGCAGTTCTTAAAGCTTGTTTTAGAACCTGCTCACAGGGAGGTAAAAACTCACAGTGTGGTTCACATTTCAGGAGTTTTAGGCCACATAAATGCATAGGATTTATTGTGTATTTCACCTATAAAATAGAAAATGTTTTATTATGTCTCTGAATAAGGTTTTGAGTGTTATACTGCAGAACATTTTAACAGGACAACAACCTAAAATTTGTTGTTGCTTTTTGACAGAGAAACATTTGGAGGAAACAAACTGTGATGCTCAGCAGAACACTCCCGATTCTCCAGAATGTAAAGTAAGTGACGCTCTGAGGTGTGAGGTGGTTCACCAAGTGAAGTGAGCTATATGGAGTGAGGCTTTCTCAGTAGTGGTATTTAATGTATTTTCTTCTTCTCTTTGATATAAAGAATGTGAATATAATGCACTTGGAGAGTGTCCTGTAAGTGTTGAATTGTATTCAGCACAAACAGAGTAGAATGCACTGGGCACTTCCTGGGGACAGACTCTTCTGTTGCTGTTTTTCAATGCTTAGAAAGAAAGTAGCACAGGAAAAAGACACAGAATGTCACAGCATGGGATTCTGGGGAAAATATGTGCAATTGTAAAACATTTTCCACAACAATCTGAAAACTGAGATTAATTGGTTTCATTCTGCAATTTGCAAATGGACATTTTAAAAGAGAGTAAAATTACCCCAAATCTTTGCAGTATTATGTAGCACTGATATAGACCAATATGGTTTAAATTTGGCAAGAGTATGAATTCCTGAATACACACAAGTGTTTTTGTTGGGGACAAAAAAAAGTTATTTCCAAGCTCAGCATACAATACTTGAAAATTCTTACAAGTGAAAACATCACTTCTGTTGGTGCAAACACATGGAAAGTAATGTTAATTGAAATTATTCAAATTGGAACTGATATTTCATGTGAATAGATTAACTAGTTTTCTCTTGATTGTGGTTTGCAAAAAAACAAACGCTGTCTCTTGTTAAAATTAGACCTCCAACCTGGCAAAAAAATTGGAACAATTTTCTTGCTTTTGATTATGTCATCACTATTACTACTTCCAATCTTCTGCATGATTTAATCCATGATGGTTTATATCTTCAGCTCACAAAAATAATTTCCTAGGCTGATATTTGTCGCATTGGAGCTAGTCATGCTGCAAGTCATAAACATTTCTAGCTTGCTGCTATTTCTGACATAGTACTTGACCCTAAAAAGCAGCTGACTTTAAAAGCAAATGAAGTGCTAAAGTGGAAGAGATGGGAATGTTGGAATTATAAGATTATGATCTAAATTATAGAAAAATAAGAGAATAAACTATGTACTGCATCACTGTCATGCTGGAGATAAGAATGCCTTATTTGTCAATTAAGGTGATTTATCTGATATATTATAAAAGGATTACAGAAGTACATGTTTCTTTGCTCTTAAGGGGTTATTTTCCCCAGCAGCAATTATTAAAAAGAGTATGAAAATAAGTATGTACTATTTTCATTCTGATACATACATGCATCTGTTATCTTGATCCCTGGAAGCTCTATAGATCTATTCAAGAGTAGGATATATCCCATAATCCACATAAAACAGTGAGGACTGTGGGAATAATGGGAATCTTCAGTAATAAAAATGCAAACAAAATACAGCCCTGAATAAACTCCACTTTGGAATGCATCTTTGTCTATTGCAGGACTTCATTATTAAGATTGAGCTGGAAAAGGCAGAAAATGGAAGCCTAGGATTTGCACTGGTAGGTGGAAAAAATGGCAGGGCTATCCTAATAAAAGCCATCAGCCCAGAGAGCAGTGCAGATCTAGATGGGAGACTTCAAGTTGGTGACATCTTACTTAAGGTAATGTTTGTTCTTCATTGCTTTGGCTCACATTTTCTCTACTTACTCTAAAATGAGCATCTGTTCAATATAAAGGTGGTGCAGATTGGAAACCTGATGCTGCTTTGCACAGTAACACGTAGGAGATGGTGTCTCTCAGCTCCTGGTGGTTAGAGGGTTGTCCTGGGGGCTCCTGTGGGACAGGGCCTCTCCAGAGCTGGTAGCTGGACACTCCAGCAGAGGCAGAATAACAGAGCAAGCAGCCAACTGCACTTACTCAGGACTGTAGTTGTGCCTAGGGAGGATTCCAGAGAAAGTTCATGGAAGCCAGAGTTAACTGGCCAAGCATGCAGGTCACAGCTAACCAGGAGGATACTGGGAAGAACCTGTCATGGTGCCAGTTAGGTGTTATCAAGACAAACAAAAAGCACTGGAATTAGGGTTTTTGGGTCTTTATTTAAAATCTTACTATCCTACTACCTTTTAATATAAATCATCCTTTTTTGTTACCCCAAATTATTTTTTCTTCTCCCTCCATGAGTTTCAAAATTGTTTGATTTTCTGGTTTTCATTTACTTCCATCTCTCCTTCATCTTCTTAATGATGAATAAGGGAAAGCCCACTTACTATCTCAGACTATAATTTTGTGGTGTCCTGGAAATCATAGTATAAAGACATAGAGATGAAGGATCAAAGCAAGTTAGGAGAGAATTCTCTCCCACAAATGGGAGAAAATGATGACACATGAAGTTCAAAGAAGTTCTATAAAGATTTGCAAGTGCTAGGATATGTGACTTTAAAAAAGGCATTGTGTTACAGGAATCTGGAAATACACATCATTGTATTTTTCAGGTGAATGAGACTTTTGTGTCTGGTCTGCCACGCCAAACAGTTACAGATTTGCTGCGCAAGGCTCAAGGCACTGTTCAACTCACTGTCTGCCGAAGCGTGGCTTTGCACTGGGCTTATTCAGGCAACCAGAGCAACAGAGCTTCCACTCCAAACACAAAAGCAGAGCCTGGTAAGCAGCTACATCCACTCACCATATGACAGAAGTGGGTTATGTGTTGCCTGAATTCAACTTTGACATTAGCAAAGCAAGTCAGTTTTACAGTTAGTCCTGTTTCATAGCTGTAGGTACAAACACATTCTTCACCCTGATTTACAGCTCTGGCTAAACTGCTTATGACACAGGACCACAGGGAAGGAATGCCCAAGTGTGATTTTTAAATCTAGGAACAAAGCTGTAAGACCCTCATCGATGCTTTAACTCAGTTTAAGTTTTTAAGTCATGAATGTTGGTCTGATTTTACCCCATTTTATGCAACTCACTGATGGAATCACAGCCCATTTTTGGTTCAGTTGCTAAAATACTTCTCCCACAAACTTCACATCCCATCACTCCTACTTATCTCCTGGAAACACTACACCTTCTGTTCTGTCTGGCAGACAGATCCTCTCTCTTCTGTGCTTATTCATGCTCAAATCCAGAAACCTCTGCTCCCAGGTCTATTGTTATTCATTTGAGAGCACATCCATCTTGCACAGGGCAACTAACTGTTGACTAACACTATGGAAGAACTTTGTGCTCAATGCTTTTTTTTACTGAATACTCAAAAATTAAACACTAATTAAAGCTGGGAGTGGAAGCAAGGATATAAAATTACCAATAGATTACAGTTATAGTCTTCAACTTCCTATTTCTTTGATTATTGAAACATTTCCTATAATGTGGAGAAACCTAAGTGGGAAGGATATAAAATTCCTCCTTCTGGCCTGCTGATTACAAATTGGAGGCTTTGTTTCAAGCATTCTTAGTCAAGAAGACACTGCCATTGCCATTTTCTTCTTATATGACATTGGTGAATTACATAGTTTCTGGAAAGTTTCAACTGTTTTCCTGCAAGACACAATGGTATTAGAGAAGTACTGGCAGCAAAGTTAATCTGTGGCATTTTTCTCTTAGCAGCGTGAAGGAATGATCTGGGTTAGGTAGGACAGGTTTAAATTGTTTCAGGTTTTTTTAATAGCTGCTGTTGATACAGTGTATCTTCTGTCAGTCTGAATTTTGCTGGCTTCTACAGTGGTGACATATGGCATTTGTGCTCTGTTAACCCTCCCAGGTATTCACAAGAGAGAGATTCCACGCCAGTTTAAGACACTGTATCTCAGTGCCCCATCTGAGGTCAAAGTCCTTTGGTCTAAGCAGCAGGTTATAATTTGACCTATATTTTCATGCATTTAATTTTGTTTTTGTTTTCTGGTATTCAGTGAGTGGTGGGGAAAGCCTGCAAGCTCAGCCTATTTTCACTTTCAAGGAAGAAGGCTCCAACCAAATGTGCAACAAGGTAAAATCGGAGAAGTTTTCAGAAGTTATCAGGCAATGTACTCATCTGCTTGTTTACAACATGGGATTGCTGCAATGTGGGAAAGAACCACACCTTCTTAATGAAAAAACATTTAATGTGAGGGAAGTGTGCTGCCATGACTGGAATGCTGACATTTGAGTGAGTCAGGATTCCACTGAGATAAGAGCACATGATAAGTATAACACATATGCTAAAATGGTGGAGGGAAGAAAGGTTGCATACATAACTCTTGTTCCGATTCTTTATAATACTGAAATGAATTTATTAATTTTACTATTCTTTCAGTATCTCTAAACCATATATATTAAAAGATTTATATTCAGCTATCTCCACTACTATTCATAATTCAAATGCATCTAAATTTCTTCAAACACAGATATGATTTTGAATCTTAGTAAGTCCTGCAAAATATTCCACATTAAATTTCAGAGCATCTATTATTTCTAAATTTAAAACTGTAAAACTCCTTAGTAAATGTGAGAAACTTAGATCTTCTTATCCTCCAGAAAACAAATAAAAAACCCAAACTCTGATTCAAGTAATATAATTTAACTAGAAAAAGAAAAATTGTAAGAATCCTTGACATAAATAAACTGAGAAAACCTTGAATAGGAATTTTTTGTGGAAGTTTTAGCATGCTGTTAGAATGGGTGTTGGAACTAAACTTTTAGAGACTGGTGAAATGTAATATCAAAATAAAGTCATATCTACGGTCTGACAAATAAGTACTCCCAACAAATAATATCAAAGAGAAGTAAGAGATAGAAGTAAGGTTACATGTGACCAATCAGATCTTCCAGTCAGCAAGGCATTAAGGGAAACATTTAGTTTTAAGCAATGTGGTTAATTCTATCTAGCACACACCTAATTTTAAGCATGTTCTTAGTGTTTTCCCTGAATTTAGGGATGAATGAAGGTTCCATTAACCTCTCTTCATTATTTCCAGCTTGCCCTTATTTGTCTCCTATGAATAGAAACTATTTCTGCTTTACTTTATAGAGCAGAGATGTAGACTTGAAAAATGACAAGCTACTAAAAAAAAAGGAAAAATGAAGCAGTAAAACAGATTTTCTTTACAAATCAAAACCAAAAATCATTACAGCAGTCTCTGATCTATGTAATCCATAGGTACAGAAATTGAGTAGATGAATTCATGCATAAAACAGCAGCTACAAACATTCCTATTCTAATGGGGAAATACATGCACAAAAGTAAGCAAATAAAGTACAAGTGGGAGATACCATTAAGATTCCCTGAGGCATTCAGCATGTGAAGTGTGCAGTATGCCAGGGTGTTTCCTGGGTGCATCTGAAATATTGAGCAGTGAAAGAAGAAACACCAATTTGAACTAAAATTGAAATAATTATTTGTCAAGTGTTACAGCTGAGAAGAAGCTACTTTCACATACTAACAGCAGATATCCTGCATCATTATTTAAATGCAGGACCTAGTTATTACTCTTTAGGATGGAAAAGCAGCCACCAATACTATTGCTTCTATTGCATGTGGAGGATCATCAAGGGTCTGCCTTCTCCATTAGCTGAGTGCTTCTTCAGCAGAGCAGCTGCACCCTGCTTCTACCATTGGCATTGTTGTGTCTAAGGACACAAGGAAAAGGAAATTATTACAAACAGTTCAATCTCAGATGCTGGTGCTTCCTGCTGCCAAGAATTGGGAGGGGAAGAGAATCACGATTCCTGTGATTCCATTTTCTTTCTGAGATCAGAAAGGATATAAAAAACTTTTCAAAGTTCAGTCATGCATGCTGAGATGTAGAGGTGTTTCTAGGCTGTATTGTTCAGAAACTTACAAGTGCAGCTGATGAGGCTTTTTACTCCAACTAGTTACTGCAATACACACTTTCTTCTGAAAGTGGAAACTATTATATTTTCCCTTTCCTCCTTGAGCAGAGGACACACTTCTGTCAGAAACAAGAAAGACTGTTGATGAAAGTATCTATATTCTTGATGTTTCAGTGTAGTGATTTTTCACAGATTTTTCTTATTTGAAACCTACAGGATGAACAAAGAACAGACAAATCTCTCCAAGGTCAGGTGGCTGGACGAGACTATAAGGATATCATTAGTAACATTTCAGAAAGGTAAGTCTTTCAAATGAAGTAAAACCATAAAAATAAATAGTATGGATAAATTATATTTCCAGCTCTGTCCTAATATGGTATGAAAATGACAGAAATACGGGTCTATGGAACGCAGCTCCACCTGCAGGAAGAGCTGCTAAACAGCTTCCACACAACTACTAAGACAAGAGAATTGACGCCTCCAGGTGTAAGGGTTAACAGTTGAAAAATGTCCTACATGAAAATGGTCTCTAGCTGTAAGAAACTTTACTTGGAGTCATTTTTGAACAGCTTTTTATTCAGAGTATGTTCTTACCTCTGAAAAAAAAACAACAACAATTGCATACTGACAATAATATTTTTCAGTAGCTATATTTGCAAACAACACTCCAGACAAAATGCTACAACAACTCCTTGAACTTATGATCTTCAAAGTTCTGACCAATTCTTGAAAATAGTTGCTCAAGAAAGTGAAAAGTGAGCACAAATAGATTAAACACAAAATCTTTGTATGAGTCAGCTTATCAAAGCTTCTGCCAGTTCAACTGATGTTGTTTTACAGGTCACAGAAATGTGCAGAATGTGAAAGCTGCAGAAGAGAAAATCAGCAGTCTGAGTCAGGAAGCTGGAACAATGAAGATGATGTTATTCCCCACAGGATTCCTGTTCTACCTAGAAGTAATCATACAAAACTTCTCTTGTTTCTTCAACAGCATAGCCCAGCACCTCCATATATGTACATTGAGAACAACACTAGTCCCTTGTATACAAGCTAAAGATTTTCTCTTTCAGTCTAAAAGACCAGGGCACTCAAGACACAGTTTTTACCACAAATGCATATATAGGCCATCCAAACTCCTGTAACTCTAAAAGGAGACATACATCATGAGGTCTCTCCTCTCTCCCTTACTGTTCCTATACAACTGCGCAAAAAAAGTAAATTACACATTTAAAAATGCAGAATGAAAGGTCAAATTCTCTCTCAAGACTTTGTTCCCAAAATCATTGAATTTCACCCCCATGGCAATTCCATTAAAAACTCTAGAACTGTGCTTAAGCATGTACTGAAGCACTTCCACAGCTCAGGTGCCAAAGCCCCTATGACACAAGAAGTGTTTACAGAAAGAATCTGCCTAATTATTCCTTTATGAAAATAAAGCTCCTTCTGCTCCAAATGAGAATAATTTGTGAAAGGAATCATACTGAGGATGCTGCAGTATCTCACAGACTCTGTGAAATACAGATTGCTCTCTCTCCTTTCTTCTTATCACCTGGTAAAAGCGACGAGTTGCTGATGGCTCTTATTAGAGGTAAAACACAGATAATTCCCTCACACTACCAAGCCTTCCTGGCCAGCAAACAGAAAATTATAGCCAGTCTATCATCTACTACCTGCTCAGAGTTTGGGGATTTTTAATTCCCCTTGATCTGGAAGGAGAAGTGTACGGGAAATAGTGTGCTGTCTGGAGTGGGGATCTGTCTTCATTGGCACTCTCAACTACACAATAGGAGCCTCTTCAAGGGTTAGAGAATGAAATGCAGAAGACAGCTCAGGCTTTAGAAGCTCAGGCAAGGCAGGGGCAAGTCATTGCCCAGACAAAAGCACAGCAAGCACAACTCTACTGTAACAGAAATTAGTTAAAAGTAGTGATGATACCTTACAAGAGGAAAGCAGAACATTGCTTGTCTTCATCCTGGAACGTATCATCAGCTTTTCTTTGAGACAGCTGGTATGTTATCCTTTCCAAACAGTAGCCTATGACTAAAAACCCAAAAATCTGTAATTCCTCTGCCTCAAACCATTATTTTTTACATAACAAGCTACTGGTTTTACTCAACATGAGAACAAAAGTTTTTCTATCATTCCAGTACAGTAGTGATATTTCTGGAGATGCAATGTTTATCTATTTTCTTAATCTGTCAAGTACTGGATCAGAACATACATTTCAGGATGAGCTAAGTAGCAAAATTGAATCCTGACTTTGGTGCATTTAAGATAGTTTCTATCTTATTCTTGAAGGGCAGTGTGAGTTAAGATGACAAGAACAATATATTTGCTTACTTTAGGAAGGAAGAATTTACCGTGATTATTTCTAGCAGTGTAGTGTGGCAATACTAATTGTCATGGAAGTGTTGGAAACATGAAGATGATTCTCTGTGAAGATGTGGCCAGAATATCCTATACCACTATAAATTAGCATTAAAGTTTCCAATTCTGCAAGGACAGTTTATTTAGAACAGACTGTATTTAGAAACTCTGTGAGGAAATAACTTGCAGTAATTGGATCTGCTTCCAAACAACATGAAATGCAGTGCTGGTTGTATCCATGATGTTTACTTATTCTTCTTTCTGCTGTGAACATAAGTAAATTGAAAATACTTTCTTCCATTTTCTCATATTTCACTTTCATAATATCAGCAACAAAATATATATACATACTGCAACTCCCTAGTTTTTAAAGCCAAGATTCTGCACGATGAACAATAATAATTAAAAACTTCTTGGTTTTTTTATTGTTGTGTTTTGGTATTTTGTTTGCTTTTTTTTGTTGTTGTTGATACATAGACAGAACCTTTGCTTCTGGAGATGAACTGACTCAGTTAATTAACTTGAAACCATCACAGAGTGGAATAGATCCAAGGACTGACATAACAGGTCTTATTCAAGGCCTTCAGCTGCGGATTGAAAATCAAGAGGTGCTAAAGGAGTTTATGGTAAACTGTGATTACTTTTTAAGAACTAACAGCTCAGCACAGCTAAGAAAGTGACTTTTAATAGCGTTGTGCATACTGTATGGGAGTTCAGTTTATATATCTTTACTGAATCCTTTTTCTATGACAATTTTTCCTGCCAAAATGGGGTTTCTACTCTGCTGTTTGGGTGACAGTACAGTATTTACGTCTCTTTCTTTCCACACGTCAGCTTTAAACTGTTCCCTGTTCAAAGGTACTGCCCATAAAACAAATAATGGAACATTCATAATGTAGGTTAGGAATGACTTTCCTAGACTGACTTCTTCCTATTACCTCTCAGCTCTGCTGAACATCTGCCTAAGAACTACCCTAGGGGCTGCACATAAGAAATAAATCCATGCTGCTAAGATTTCACTAGTGTAGAAACAGTTGGAAGGAAAATATTCCACACAATGGAACACTCCAGTTATCCACAGAACTCATTGTCACAAGATGCTATTATGATCAGAGACTTAGTGAAATTACAAAGAAAATGTAATGTACCTCCGTAGATAATGAAAACACATAATTATATCTGATTGCATATGAATCAAGAAAAAATTGTAAAATTAGGAAGGCTTGTAAAATCTCTTGTTTCAGAACATAAACAGAGTATGCAGTTATCATCAAATTCCCAAAGAACAGATTATTCTGTAATTCTTCAACATAGTATACTGGATTTCCTTTAAAAGACTTGCTCATTACCAGTGGAATGGATTGCTGCCTCTTCTCCATAGTAATCGCAATGTTATCAGTTTATTTCACTTGCCTTTATATCTCCAAGTTTCTGGGCACAAAATCCCACAGGCTCAAGTGCATAGGATTTGCTGACTTTCCCTGAAGGCTCAAGGGCATGTATTAATTTCCATTCATTACATTCAATTACTGATATAGGTTACTGTAAGCTGAGCCACACATCTGCACAGAAAACATAAAGATCTAATAAGTAAAGTGCTGGTTACCAAAGCCATTGGATATTTTATCTGAGTAAAAGAAGTAGTAACTGATGAAAGTGTTCAAGAACTGTCACATGTACTTCAGTTCATAAAAATGTATAGTGGCAGAACGTGATGGCTGTGCATTGTGCAATGTGTAGCAAATAGGTAGGAGAATAAAAAAATGTCAAGGTAACACAAAAATATAAATGAAATTAATTTGCACACTTCTGCTTCTGACTACACTGCATTCAAATCCCCTAAATTTGCTGTGAAGTTCTTAATGACTGTATGACTCGCACTTAATATCATTGGTGGTGTTCCCTATATTCATCCCTTTTCTCCATCACTGAAAAATATTCACTGTCATTATTGCACTGTTAATAGTGTAATAGTTAGTGCTTTAGTCATTGTGTTATCAACCATAAATGCTGGCATTTGCCCAAGAGAGTATTCCAAACATCTATAATACAGCAGTATACAACAAGCACTCGTAATGATGGGGTCTGAGGATGAGGGTTGGAAATATCACTTGAAAATGCAGAAATATTGTGCAGGGTGAAGAAAATACAAAGCAAATTGAATTCCTTGCCTAGAAGTTTAGAAAATTATGTACTAATTCTCTTCTGTAAGAAGTCTATTTGCCAGTCTTGGGTTATATACAGCAGTAAAGTTTGTTCACACTGACACTGTAAAAGTTGTCTGTTGAGGATGTGAACAACATGGATTGACTATTTCTTTTTGATCTAGGCATTAGAACATGTGAAACCAATAGATGACTGCAGAATTGGCAAAGCACCAGAAAACCAAAACAAAAACAGATACCGAGATATCCTTCCATGTAAGTATGCACAGAAATGGGAACATACATTTGGTGAACAAGTCATCAGAGAAACACAAGAAAATTTTCTGGACCCTTGATGTCTTTCTAAACTGCATCAACAGGACAACACATGCAAAAATTTGTAGCATCTCTATAGATCAGTGATGCAGTATATATATTTTTAGAGGTTTTCCTGGTTTGTAACACCAATATCCAATGACAACATTCCTATGCAAAACATGAAAAGCAGGATTGGGTACACTATTTTGGAAAACTGGCAAACAATTCTACAGTAATTAGAAGGCCTTTCACAGTGTTACACAAGTACCTTAAGAAAAATAAAGCTGCAATGAACAATACAATTTATCTGTGGGAATTCCTACTTGCAATGATTAATATTAGTACCACTAGTCAAATGTATTCTAAAATCCAGAGGCATACTTTTCTGAAAAGACTGAGGTTTCCTATATCCTGAGTGCTGGAGATGGTAGAACTCTGTTTCAGATCCACAGCTGAAATAGCATCTTTCTGTTTCTGTACAGATGATAAGACACGGGTTCCTCTGGGAGAAAAGAATGGCTACATTAATGCAAGTTACATTAGAATGAATGTTGGAGAAGAGGAACACTTTTATATTATAACCCAAGGGCCTCTGCCATCCACTATGGCTGATTTCTGGCAAATGGTTTGGGAGAGTGAATCAGATGTGATTGCCATGATGACAAAAGAAGTGGAGTTAGGGCAAGTCAAATGTCATCGATACTGGCCTGAATCTCCCTATGACTCTAAAGACCTGGCTAATTTCTATCTCAGGCTACACAATTACCAGATTATGGAATACTTCATAATTAGAAAAATAGAAATTATCAACAAGCAGGTAAGTTGACAATACTTTCATACATGATTAAATTGATTATGTAGTTTATGTGAGTGGATACAAGTAGTATTGTTTGATTCTTCCATAATATATGCTCAGTATTTTTTAGGGAGGTAAAAATCTGAGTAACAGGCATGAAATTAAGGTTAAGGAGGTGCTTCTTTTTTGCTCATTACACAAGCAATGGATCCAATATTACATACATTTAGACAAGAACTTGCAAAAACAAGACCTCTAATAGTCACAGAACTGGTGTGTTCAGTGTTTTACAAAATTGTTTACTGTTCGCACCAAATCACATCCATGTCAGAGTGGATTCAAATTCTGTAATGATGGTTGGATGGAAAGAAGGGAAGAAGGTGGCTTTCATCCTAGAATTTAGGACAAATGATACTTTTATTGTTCATGAAAAGACACAAACACACATGAAACTACAAATCTAGCAGCATTTTTTAGAAACTGAACAAACACAGAATCCAGGTGGAAGAACAGGGAAAACAGGGCAGGTATAAGCCCATCAGTCTTGCCTTGATATTAAGTAAAGCTTTGCAAAGATATCTGTAGGACATATTATTTGATGGAATAATTAAAAAAAACCTGTGGCAGACTAAACTTGGTGACTTTTTCCATCAAGGTAACAATTTTTTTTTATTTGAGGAAATTCACCTTATGTCACTGAGTGTGAAGCATTGTAAAGTATTTGATACAAGTCTTTTCAAAAGACTATTAAAATGGCAAGATGGAACACCAAATGTGATTGTTTCAATGAACATGTAAGATTGCTAGGTTTGTACTGAATTAGTAGCAAACTATTAAAGAAAGCCACAGGTCCACTTCAAAAGAAATCCATGCTTACATCCAAATTCTTCTGATTGTAAAAATCCAGGTAGATAACATTCAGATTTTAACATGACTTTGTGAACTGGCAACAAGAAGTGATGACCCAGGAACATTTAATTAATATTATTTTTTATTTTATCTACATTTTATTTATTCTTGTAAGCATTTTTAGTTGGTTTGCATATTGAGAATCTAATCACAAGTTATTCTTTCATATCTGATAGCCATCAGATATTTATCAGATATAAAGTTACTCTTTTACATCAGATAGTCATCAGATATATTTACAGATATATCAGATAATATGAGAGTGGCTCTCATATTACTACTCTTCTATTAGTAAAGCTTAACTTAGCTACAAAAACAGTTTTAGCAAAGAGTATTGCAATGTTTCTAATTAAAAAAATTAAAAAAAATTAAAAAATGGTTCCTTTCTAACCAACAGATGACATTACTCCATTCTTTCAAGGCAACAGAGTAACTGCAGAGTCTTGTCAAAGTAATAAGAAGTAAATTTTCTAGTCTTGTGTTTCTGAGTGCATTTCTTGAAACCTAAAGAAACTTTAATTTAGTCAAGTATGAAAAGCTAAAGAATTGTAAACTACCAATTTTAAAAATGAGGCTGAAGGAAATTTTTAGTGGAATTCCTTGAAAATTGGTTTTGGAACTGATAATTGTTAACCTTTCTGGTCTCTCTCCTCCAGACAGAAGAAAAGCGCATTATAAATCACTTGCAATTTATCACTTGGCCAGAGCACAATACTTCCAAACTGGCTGAGCAGCTTGTAAAATTTATTTGTTACATGAGAAAAGCTCACAGGAATGGATGTCAACAACATGGTGAAATCTCTTAGAACAGAATAAATCCTGTAAGAATTTGTTCTAACAAAGAATAAGCCCAGCTTTCATTGTTTTAAACAGCAAAGTAAGTAACTACAAATCTACTATTTCTAAAAAAACTGTCACAGTTTGCCCATATGAATATGCTTAAATCTTTTTTTATAACATGCATGTCAACCAAATAAAAACTGTTCTCTTCTGATAGTTCAACATCAAGCAGATAGTGAGAGATTTGCGAGATCAGCGTTTTGGCATGATCCAAACTAAGGTAAGTTCTAAATATGCAACTAGATTATTATTTTTTTTAAAAACCACAATCAGTGGCACTATTCCCCATGCAATGATAAATCTGGGGCTTAAAATATCATTTTAGTGCTCTCATTTGAGGAAAGTAACAGCCTTCTAGGCAAGTGGTGTCTAGTTTTAAATATGAAGATTTGTCTCCTACTAAATAAGTGAAACAAAAGCAAAGCAGCAATATAGGACAGACACTGCACCCCTCTTTCTTTTTCTAAAGCAAGAAGAAAAGCAAGTATCACCGAAAAAGTGATTTATTATAAACCCTACCCTGCAAAATCACACCTTTCAGTTAAATTCTTGCTATTGCTGAGTTATCATCACCAAGTAAACCCTTCTACTCCTAGCTAAACCCACTCCTGAGAAGATTTTTCACACAGAGGAAGAGAAGATGCAGGTAACTCACCTTAGAGAAAACAGTTGGTGAGAATAAAAGCAAGAGAAGACTAAAACAAGTTCTTTCTACAGGCAAATATTTTAGTATATGCTTTGATATATTTTCCTTCAGGGTAATGATTGAGCCAGTAACTAAAATTAAGCAAACATATAACCTTCACTGTCCTAAATGAGAGTTGAGCACATGCTTAAACTACAGTGTTCCTGTACTTTTACCTGTGATGGAACAAAAAGAACAAGGATTCTCTGAAATACGTAAGTTTTGTATCCATATGACAAAGATGATGATGTTATAACCATACAACATATAATCATACAACTTCAGGTACTCCATCCTTCTTTGTCTATAACTTATGTTGAATGTAACCAGGTGTTTCACACTGGTGTCTCCACACACAGGATGAGTATTTATTCTGTTATGAAGTTGTTCTGGAAGTCCTTCAGATCCTCCGAGCAATGGATTCCTACTGAATATTATTCCTACAATATGAATCTTCCTGTTGCTGTTCCACATGGACTCCAGGAACTGCTCAGCAACTACTTTAAAGAGATGTCAAGCCAGCAGACAAGTGTTATTACATGCTTTTTTAGAATTCCCTGATTTCAAAGTAATTTTAAAACCTTGTTTAACATGTCCTGCGTAAGTAATGTATTTCTTGGCTCAAAGGATGAAGAAACAGCCAGCCAGCACTGCAACACTGCTGTGTTAAATTGCTATGGACAATTTTTGCACTCTGTGTAATAACAGATTAATTGCTAGGAATATATGTTGGGGCCGTAGCAAGGCTATAGCAGCCTTTGGAATTAACTTTACTACCCGGAGGGCAACTATAAAGATCTAAGATTCTGTTGGTGTTGGTGGAAGATTAGCTGACCCTTATCTATTGTTGTGCACTATTGGCTTCTGGACAGCAAATCAGTATTTACTCCAGCAGTTATGCTTTGGCATGGAGGCACTCAATTTGGTGACTTTTGGCTGCTTGAACAATGTAGAACCATTCCCAGTCATTACTCCAGCCCATGAGTTTATACCACTATCACTAGACATCTTAAATCAAGAAACTGACAGAAAAAATAGAATGCCTTTAAAGCCTGGTTCTCTACAAAGGAAGAGCGTTCTAATAATTAGACGGGAGACTAATTTTTTCCAGCAATATGAACAGATGTAGATAGCATCAGTATTTTCATTCTGCATCCATAGAAAAAGGAATGCTAAGCCAGGTGAAACAACTGTGTGTGCGTTGTGGTACACACATACATTCCATCTTTCCCTAATCCTTTACAATGATTGACTATCTTTTCATTCTTACCTACAATCTGAAATATGGGATGTCCTGCTGGTCTGAGTAGGGGCTGAATCAGATCGTTAAATTAAAGAACTCTCTGTACAGTTTATTTTTCTTGTAAAAAGTGTTTCTATTTGTGTGGGTGGATTTGAGCAGAAATGTGCTGTTCAAGGTGTAAGATTGTATTTGTTTCCATAATAGTACTTCTAAGTCCTTATCTAGAAGGTGACATATGGAAGTGATTAGATGTGCATTAGAAGAGTAACTTGGAAACATAGGAAATGGAAACAATCTAAATTGTACATATTTTTAAAACTTATTTGGTTTATGCTAAAGAGAAAATATTAAGAGGCATTGGCTATAAAATTGCAGTTGAAGCAAGAAAATAAAATACCTATTTATTTTATTACCTATTACAAATTAGAGGTTAATAATTCAGAAAGAATGGTGTATTAAATAAAATTTAAAGCATGGCTTTTAGGAAAAGCCACTGTAATAGAGTTATATTTAAGGCCAAGACACATTTTTTCTTTCTGCCCTCCAATAGTCTAGAGGCAGGAAAATATAAAAATGCAATTAATTATGTGACCCAGATGCTAATTTCAAGCATATTAATAAAGTTCCAGAGCAACGCTAAATGCTAATCCAGGAGTAACCCTGGATTTATATTGATATAAATGTATGCAGAATTCAATATTTTGTCTTAAATTCATTGAATTTGGTCCTTCCTCAAAGCATTACTCTCCATACATTCTGCGTTTATTATCCTTACGCTGCATACAAAGGACTGTTCGCACAATTTTGACAAATATCAACAGCCAATTTTTTTTTCATAACTTTGTTACCTTCATTTGTTATTTGGCCTTTCACTTTGACTTTAATTACTGCACATGTACTACTAGGCAATCAATGCATTATACTGTAATGAATGCACAATTCATCTTTTGTACCACAAAAATTTAACAAGCATCCTAGTGAAAATATTCCTGTACTTCATGCAAAGGTGTTTGTTCTGTGGCTTAGAACAAGTAATCTGGATTTAGAAGACAATCCTCATAGGTCACTATTTTTGCATCATCTTTGCAGTTGTTTGAAAGATGTGTTTGCTGTTTGACTTGAGTTTTTTCCTGTTTTGCAGAGATATTAAAAAGATTTCTGAAAACAATTTGCTTAATTTCATTTTTTTTTTTTAAATAAAAAGCAGCTGCAATACCTAACTATTAACCAATATGAGCTCTACTTTATTCATAGGGGCTTATCTTTAAACTTCCTCTAAAGGCAGATTTTGTGATGATGCGTAGTGGAATCTGGCCACATCCAGCAGCTGATAAGCATTTACAGACACACACACACACAGCACAACTTAGTGTCCCACTTCTGTGTTTGTTATGCATGCAAAACTCCCTGGAGATCGAGGCTCACTGATATGCATTCATTTGGAATAAAAGATAACCCACTCTTTAAAGAGCTCACACTACTTGGCAAGTTGGGATAAACTGAAAAGGAAGGAAGATCTATTGTCCTATTTCATTCATGGGGAAGTGTGGCAGTGGTTGGTGATTTGTCCAAGGTCTACAGACTTTTGAAAAACTTGGGAACTAAGCACAGATGATAAAATCTCTGATTCTTTGCCTACACACAAAACCATCTTTCAGTCAGAAAAGAGACTCATACTGCTTTATATGACTTCTGACAAAATATTATTTAGCATATAAAGTGCACTGACTGGACTTTGCACACATCCTAATATGCAAAATATGTGTTATGGTAGAGAACCTCAGTCTGTGCCTTTGGTCACTCTTCTTACTTCAGAAGTGGCATTGAGCTAACCCTTTGTGCTCTACCACCTGGTTGCCAATCAGGACAAACTGCAGCACAAATGTGAATGAAAAGAGCATGATTATTGAAGACAGTGCCTGCCATAACAAGCCAAACAAATAAACATATGCTAGTTTTCAGATTCCTACTGTAGCACAAAATCTTGTCAGTCAAATTCTGTGTTTAGACAGTAGCTCTGTCCACAGACCAGCTTGTAAAATCATATTTTGGAGAAGTAACTGTTTTACCAGCACTGAGACTGCTGTTAAGTTTTTTTATAGCTACAATTTTATCTCAATTGAAAAGCAAGTGTAGCAAGGACAACCACTGCACAGCTGTAAGGTTACAAAATCATGTGTGTAGGGGAAAACAGGTATCCACATTTTTCTATATAACTTCTTCATTGAGTTCCATGACCTCAGAACTGCCTCATGCTGATGTCTCTGTGTACTCTAGTACCCCATCTGCAACAGAAAAGATACCTGAAAATACCCACACCTGACAAAATGTTACTATTTACAAGAGCATTGTCAGGTTTAAATAATTGACTTTAAAAAGTAGCAACTTGTCCTAATATAATCATGTTTCCTTTAATTTATTTTTTTTTAAGAAAGCCTGAAAATTAATCTAATTTTCTTAGATGAGCCAGCAATTTTTTTTTTTTTTTGGTCTTTTCAGCTGGAGTTCATAGCCTCGCTTGAACAACAGGCCCTTCTGTGATGAAACAGAGAGCAGCTGCAGAGGGCTCGTCCTGCCAAAGAGCAGCGATCGCTGCCATCTAGGGGCAAAAAGCGGCTGTGCCAGGGCTGATCGCAAGCTCCTGCCCTGGCACAGACCCATCCGTGTCTCAGCTGCAGAATAAACACAGCCAGATAAATGTAACAGGCGGCTCGTGGGCACATTCCACTTGCTAACTGAAATTATGCCACTGTGACTTCTTGACTATACCTGCAAGCAGCAAGAAGCTCTCTCAGGAACATTCTTTCTATTGGATAATAGAAATACTGAATGGAATTGTTTTCCTGTGAAAAAACAGAATCATTCAAATGTCCAAAATGGGGTCCCCCTTCCACAGACAGGGTCTGAAGGGTGTGTTGCATCCACACTGGATGCTTCTTTGGTGTTGTAATGCAGTTAGGTTAGAAATTACAGCAGTTTGGTGCTGCACAAGTCAGAGTTCCCAACATCTGAGGGGATGTAAGTCTATACTATTCTCC